AAGACATTAGTTCACTACTTTAAGTTTGTATAGCATTAAATAAACATTTCCTTTCCTTTTCACGAATCTCTGGCATTGAGAGACGTCTTTCCTCGGGCAGTGGGCATAATGGACCCGGGGCCTTCTTTCAATAATAGTATATCGTCCCAGGACCCCCTTGTTTGTTCTGTAACAAAATGACTTACTTTTCACCTTTAGATTTTAAACTATGGTGCATGTACTGCCTATTAACTTTATTAAAAAGTTAAAGCAAAAAGGTAATCCATGAAAAGTTAAAATGTGTAACGGCATTAGAATTTATCAGCTTGTAAAGCTTGACCAAGAATAATTTTGATCTCACTCAGTTGATTTCACATACTATTGATATGTTTGAATGTAGTCAACAGAAAGCAAATATCAACAAAATAATAATTATATAATAGTATAATTTGGCCCCCCAAATTATAGCCAATACATAAGTAAGACAATGAGCATTTAGTATCTTTTCCTACAACTATGTAACAATGACAATGTATTAATAAGAACTAGATAAGGTGATCCAAAACAATAATGATATCATTTTGTCAGTAAAATGACCATATACTATGGTTACTGAAACACAGAAGAATTATAAAACAAAAAGGGAAATAAAATTGCAGCCCAAGTGAGGGATTCGTTTAGCTAGTTTTTAATTAAAAGGTTATACTGTACTCAGAACAGAACTTGGAAAATCCTACTATGATAAAGTTAGGTGAAACCTAACAATAAAACTTAAGTGAAAAGAAAAATATTAGGTGTAAAAATCTGGAACTTTGGTAAGTCCCAGCTGAAAGCTCAAGAGGTCGAAGCACAAACATGAAATAAGGGCCACCTGCCGGCACAGCTGCCAGCTTCCTCTTTGCAAGGAGATCCAGGTGTCACGCTGACATTAGCACTGCCCCACATCACAGGCAGCCCTTGATCAATTCCAGTCATTAACTGAACAACCTGACCAGCACTCGCTTCTTATCTCAAGTGATCAAATGTCACCTTCATGACCCGAGAGGGTCCTTTTACTGGTATATGTGTAACCCTAGGAAAGGCATGGGTAGAAATGGTAAAAATAAGTAATAAAAATAATGATTGTAGTGATATTTTTTGGCATCCTATATTTATGCAAGTGTGGTAGCAAGCCTTCTAACAGGTAGTTTTCTGTATGCTATTTTGAAAATGCTTGAAATTATTAAGAAGTTAATTTGCTGAATTTAAAAGGTAATTGATCAAATTTGAGAAAGTTGCTTAGATGCTTGGAAAAAAGTTGTTCATTAAATTTAAAAAATTTTTTAATTTATTTTTCAGTTACAGTTGACATACATTATATTAGATTCAGGTACACAACACAGTAATTAGACATTTATGTACTTCACAGTCAGCTTGATAAATCTACTACCCATCTGACGCCATACATAGTTACTTATAGCCTAAGTGTTTGAGAGAATCAAATTTATTTGAAAATTCTAAGAAAATTAATAAGTAGGTAAGTAGTATTAAATATCTGGAAATAATTTAATATGTTAAATATAATTAACATTTTTACTCTGTACTTGAAAACAAAATTACTAACAATTATAGGGCCATATTTTTTCTTCATTTTAATGAGTCACTCATTTTCATTTATCAGTAGTAAATAACAAATAATTCATTTCAGTATACAAAATAAAGTGTTGTCTTAAATTTTCAGTTCTTAAAGCTTATTGTTAACCATATTTATTTTTTAAAGGGTAACATTACCTACATATAACATCTTATGAATAAAAAATAAGTAAACTTTTACCTTATAAGAATAGCTGATATAAAAATTGTACACCCAAGAATAAATTTTCATTTTGTGTTATATGCTCTCTCAGAAAAGAAAAAATCAATGTTAGCAATATTAAAAATACATTAAGGATAAGCATTTCTATTTTTAAATAATTAATGCCTATATATGTATTACATAAAAATACAGTATGGTATTTCATCAGAGTACAGTCAATATGAAATATTGACACAATTAAGCAATGACAGCACATTCTCAGTAGAATTGTGCTCCAGTACAAGTGTGAGTACAACCAGCAAAGTGTTTGCCATATCAGAGCCCATTACATCAGGGCCTCTCTTCCTCCCGTTGGACCCTAAGGTCTTGCAGGGCCAAAACTGAGTCGTCTTCCTATCCAAAGGAACCACTGCTTGAAACACAGTCACTAACAAGCCTGTTAAATTAAATAATTCTAAAAGCATTTTCATGATTAAAATCGAAATATTGGTTTAAAGCAGTTTGTGTCGATTTAAAGGACAAAAGACAATCTATAGCCTTTTACTACTAAGAACAAACTGGAAAATAAAATTCAGAGCCCACGAAGTGAAGTGTAAAGTACACTTAATCAGGTTTTTAATTGTTACCAACAGCTTGATTGCTAAGTGTTGCAGACAGAGGTTTGCCTTATTAGTCAGTACCCACAGACGATCAGTCAAGTCCAGCTTTTACTTTTTTTTAAAAAAGATTTTATTTATTTATTTTTAGAGAGGGAAGGGAGGGAGATAGAGAGAGAGAGAGAAACATCAATGTTCGGTTGCTGGGGGTCATGGCCTGCAACCCAGGCATGTATCCTGACTGGGAATCGAACCTGCGACACTTTGGTTCACAGCCCACGGTCAATCCACTGAGCTACACCAGCCAGGCAGCTTTTACTTTTAAAATTTGATCATGGACAGAAAACATAAATGAGGTGATGAGTTTCTTGCCAATTGTTGCCTAATACATGCATTTATATGTATTTGTATTGCCATAGAAAAAATGTTTGAGATCTGTAATGTAAGACATTTTGAAATAAATATATATTCAACGACATGATCAGTACTCTGTAAATAAACATAAACTTTAAATTTGATTTTCTTCCCTAAGAATTAGTTAAATTATACTTCTGAAGAGGAAAAACTTTATTACTGTGAAAAAGGGAACAGAATGTTCCTACAAATAATTTAATTCATGATCAAACTATTCACTCTAAGTATGTAAAAACTAAATAAAATTAATTAACATGTCTTTTCAAATACAGGAACACGATAATAAGGAACAATGTAGCGGAAAAGAACGTGATTATGACTAGTCAGCATAATCTCAACTCTCACTTTGCGAGAAAATGGTTTTACTTTCCATTGATCACACACACAGACGTGCGTGAAAGTGACCAAATACTGTGCAAGAGTAGGTCATGTTCCACACTAGTCACACTCTACTTCAAAAGAATACACCCTTCTCAGTATGGTCAGGTTCAAAAGAACTCCCTTTTTAGTCACTGCCCTAGTAAACTGTAGATTTATTCTTTACACTCAGTTGAGTGTTCAAGATAATGGATAGCTACAAAAACACATCCCGAATGAGAAGCCCCTGAGTATTTATACGACTACTGGACACTAAACGACAGCTCTTTAAATTTATGACACCATTTATCAATGACTTGTTTAAAAAATGCAATGTGTTAGCCCTCGCCAGGTGGCTCGGTTGGCTAAAGCATCATCCCATACAGGTTGTGGGTTCGATCCCTGGCCAGGGCACATAGGGAAGGCAACCGATCAGTTTCTCTCACACATCATTTCTCTCTCACATCAATGTTTCTCCTTCTCCCTTCCTGTCTCTCTAAAATCAATTCTTTTAAAAATGCAATGTGCTACTTACTAATTTATCTACCAAGGTAAAGATTTTTCTTTCAAATGTGTCTGGAATTATATTCATCATGCACTACCTACATCTGGTACTAAAGACTTAAAGTAAGATTCTCAAATGAAGACTCCAACAGCTTGGTATCATGAGGCAAGTTACTGTCACTTAATAACAAAAGATTAAAAACTAGTGCCAGCTACATCTTACAAGAAAAACTAACTTAGCTGTGGGTTACAGGTTCCAAGCAGAAACTGTAAGACAGCTCTTTCAGATCAGTTAGAAGGCCTCTGAGATAGCTGGTAAAGAGGGCATCCCCAGCAACGCAGACTGCAGTTGCCGAGGCAATGGGCTGGGAGGATACCAGTCTCGTACCTCGTGCCGAGACCGAAAAGGAACATTATTTTAAATCAGTTGCTAGAGTCTAAAATCACAGATGTCTTATTACACAGCAGAGCTAAAAGTTCATTAAATTTGCCTATTTTAAATAGTTAATAATTTCAATAAAGGGTTTGGCTATTCAAAGTATGTAATTTAGTACCAGATTCTTCTGCTGCTGCCGTTACCACACTCCCAATATACTTGCTTTGGCAAAGTTAACATTTTCATTCATCTGGCTGAACTATTATGTCAATGAGTATTATTTATAGTACATTTTACATATAGTCTATACATGGGCTCTACAAGAAGTACAGCTGACTCTTGAACAACATGCGTTTGAACTGTGCAGGTCCACTTACACAGTTTTTTTTTTTTTTTTCAATAAATATGTACAGAACAGTAAATGTATTTTCTCTTCCTTATGGTGTTCTTGGTAACATTTTCTTTTCTCTAGCTGAATTTATTGTAAGAATACAGTACATAATACTCATAACATACAAAATATGAATTAAATGACTGCTAATATTATCCGTAAGGCTTCCAGTCAACAGCAGGCTATGAGCAGTTAAACTTTTGAGGCGTGAGAAGTTATACACAAATTTTCAATGGCATGGTGGGGAGGGGATCGGCACCGCTAACCCACGCGTTGTTCAAGAGTCAACTCTATTTTCTGAGATTACATTAACCACAACCTTATTTCAACTCCAACAGAGTCAACGTCTGCCTTCTTACTACAGACAATTATGTACGTATGAATTTTACAAGAAGCAAAAGAAATGTAACTTGAAAAAGTTAACATATTTTGCCATGTATAATGTGCATTCTTCCCCAAATATTTGAGGGAAAAATAAGGACGCACATAGGTAGTACCTGAAATACCTTGTATCTGTCCTGGTGTTTTGTAATTATTTGTTACATAAAATTTCTTGTACCATAATATGTTCAAAAATAAATGCTAAAATTCCTTTATAATACAAAAAAAAACAAATAAATAAAAAACTGAAATAAAAAAATAAAGATTTTTTTCCCCCTGAAAGTTTGTGCCAAGAACGTGGGTGCACATTATACCTGCAAAATACTGTAGTTAACTGTCTAAAATCAGGAACAGAAAAAGGTCTAATTTAATTTATTATGGCTGATGAGTGCCACCTAGTGGATATCACTTCCCAAACACTTCTATCTGCAATAACATTGTTTAGCTTCTTAGAATGTCAACTTTCACTAAAAATTCCTTTTTAAAATTAAAAAGGAAAAGCAAGAAACTTTTGATTTCTGTCTCCTTTCTATGTATTATTTATATATTAGTTTTTTACTTAGTTTGGAACATTACATACTTGTGTAACAAGATTATACAAGCCGAAAAATAAAGATCATTGAAATAAAATTATTCTATCACTATTTCTTTAAATCATAAATTCAGAAGCACTGTTTTTGAAAGGTAAAAGTGTCAATATTCAACTTCACATACAGACTATAATTCAATATACTTTATATATAGACATGCAGTTGCAATTAATTATACATCAAGTTTTATTTGAAGAAAAGCAAAACAGACAACCACAGCATTTCAATTAAAGAAGTTAGGGAATTTCCAAGTGCTTTCACAGTTCTTCAGTTACCATTAAATAATACACTGTTTTAAACCAAAGTTAAAATACAGTGGAAAACAAATTCAGTAAGCAGATTGAGCAATACAAATTCAGAACACTACTCTATCCTCCTGTGTTCTGTCCCACCAAAGGGTGCTGTTTAAAGTTCCACAACTATTATCTTCTTCCTCTTGCTCTTTAGTGAGTTCAACAAAAACCTAAATGAAAGTCAATAAGTGAATACAGTATTCTATATCTCAATTACCTCACAGACTTTTTAAATAAAACAGAAAAGGTATAAGGCTATATACCTAATTACATTAACGATTCAAGTATTAAAAGATCTGTTACTATTAATAAATTTAAACAGAAAAATCTCCATTAATCACATAACAAAGATGAATATTTTGGTCAATTAATGGATTATTTTTTATTAACACATTTAAGTATCAGTCATAAATAATTTATGTAAATATTTAAACAATGTAATTTGATACACCAATATGAAATACCATCATCATGGCTCATTTACTTTACTAAAATTTGAGCTATTCAAAATAAACTGATGGAAAACCTAGAGTTTTTAAAAATTATACAAAAGTTTAGAAATATTGTATAACAATTTGTCTCTGGTTCATGAACTCCCTTTCCAATGTAAACCTAAACAATTAGATATTAGACACTTCCTTCTGTAAAAGAATTTTAAAAAAATGTTTAAAGTACCTGTTCCAATGTTGCTTGAGAAAAGCTATATTCTTCAATGGCAAAAGTATGCTTAGCTATTAAAATATGAAAACAATATTTTATTTATTAATATTTTAAAGAATTAAAACAGCAGTAACTGCTAAGTAGCTAATGATCTATCTTTTAAAAAAATCTCTGTAATCAACTCATTGAAATTTGAAGCTGCCCAGACATGCCATTCTCCTCTGTCCTGCTTCGTCTCTCCTCAGCACCCGCAATCCAGTCGCCGGGGGCCTAGGCACACTATAGCTAACACCACTTGCCTCTTGTTGCCTTTTCCCGGCGTCTCCTCTTTATCTTCTTCCTCAGTGTTCTTTTTCCATCTCTTTTGATCTCTGCTCTCTACTTCCCATTGCCCAGCTCCAATACAGCCTGTTCTTGCCTTCTTGAATTAGATTCGGGACATTGTTCATATGTCTAATACACTTTTTAATATTTATTTCAGGTCTTTTTGCAACCTAACACAAACTTTTCTGGTTTTTTATTTATTTTTAAAAATTTATTATTATTATTTTTTATTCCTGTTCATTCTATTCCAGTTATCCCAATTTTCCCCCCTCATCCTCCTCTGTCCAGCCCACCCACTCCCTACCCCTGCTCTCACAGTCCATCCCCACACCTTTGTCCATGTCCATGGGTCTATTTATCCTTTTAATTTAATTCTCCCTAAGTAGTTCAGGTGTTCTCTTTAATAAAAAGGAAATCATCAGGAAATACAGGTTGTTTCATAGTTACAAATACTGTAAAATAACCTGCATTTCAATACTTGCCCTATCCAGGAGCTTACTTCCCTCTATTGCCACCAGCACATCTTTATCCTACCTACCATGGATTTCAAAAAGGCCAAGATTCAACTGAGCTTCTTCAAAGGTTTTAGGAATGACCATGCCCCTACACTATGAATTTTCATCTCCTCTCTCCTGATGGGACTAAGTCTCACTACCATTTCTACTTCTATGGATTCAAGAAACTCAATGCTCCCAGTTCTGGACTGAACTAGTGAGGGCTAATGCAGCTGAACTTGGCCAGAGACGCAATGTGAAAAACTGTGGTTATGTCTATCAAAATAGTAAAAGGCTCATGTTGCAATACATGTGATCTACCAAATCTGTACAGTAGTAGTATTTACCTGTATCTTAGGTTAAATTAATAGAAGGTTATAGTATTTTCCTGTTTATCACGGTACCTACAGCAAACTGAGTCCCAGCTTCTAAACTTTTAAAATAGAATTCTTTTATAATTTGAAAGCTATCTTGCCATGTTCTTCAAATATTACTTACCTTCTTCCAGCTTAGAAAAAGATTGTGAAAGGGACTGAACATCTTCTTTAGGAATTTTAAAAGCCAAAATTGAAGAAAAACTGAAAACAAAGATAAAATTTTAAATTACTACTACTGTGTTTTAAAGCTCAAGTTCAAACTCTTTTTACATTTTAAAATTATTTAGATAAACAGATTACAATTATTTGACATCTTAAAATTTTCCACCCACAGAAAATGTTTGCAATCTTAAAAATTTCCATGCACAATAAAATAATTCTCATTACTACTAAGTAAGAACTTTAAAAAGTTTAAATAGTATCATATATATCAATTGACTGGTTGATTGATTGTAGAGAGAAAGGAGGGAGAAAGAGAGAGATACACATCAGTTTGTTGTTCCACTTATTTATTCATTCGCTGGTTGATTCTTATACAGTATGTGCCCTCCTGACTGAGAGGATCAAGCCCACAACCTTGGCATATTGGGACGATGCTCCAGCCACCTGAGCACCCAGCCACGGCCAATAGTATCATGCACTGAAACATGTAATGCTAAATTAGATATAAAACTCCAGTCATTAGACTACATTAACCCAATACTGGTTACCAATACAGACTTTTTCCCCTTATCCTTAACATAATAACAAATTTTTATGATTATTACTCTACAAAAAATATAATTGAAATGTTAAAATCTTTACCTTTCCTGACGGCTTGCGTTTGGGAAAATATACTGAATTTCTCTTTGAAGGCGGTCTATTTCTAAGTTTTCTATCCAGTCCTTTAATTTAATTTCCAAAAAGTAACCTTTTCCAAATTTACTCTTTAGATGCTGGACTGTCCCAATACATCTGTAGTGATTTTTAAAAGAAAGCTCAGATATAAGATGACAGTTTCAAAAAATGGTTTCTCAGCTAAACAATAACTTAAATAAAATGTTTATGAGGGAATACTTTAAATTTATAAAAAAGTTGCAAATATAATACAGAGAGTCTCCATACAGCCCTCACTCAGTTTCAGTGTCCCTAATATTATCACCTTACAAACCCCAGCACATTTGTCAAAATTAGGATACCAGCCTTGGTATACTACTGTTAACTGCATTTGGGTTTCACCGGATTTTCCACTCATGTTCTTTTCCTGCTCCAGGATCTACCCAGGATACCACATTACACTTAGTTGTCAGGGCTCTTTCATCTCCACTGGTGTGTGACAGTTTTTTAATGCTTTCCTTCTTTTCCATGACTTTGGAGAATTTTGAGAACTGGTCAAGTGTTTTGGTAGAATGTTCTTCAGTTTGGAGTACTTTGATTTTTTCTTATGATTAGACTGGGGTTATGGGTTTTTACAGAAAATGCCCCAGATCTGAAGTACCTTCCTTATCGTACCGTGCCGGGCGATACACGATACCCACAGGGCATTGTTTGGATCAGGAAGCCGTGTCTGTCAGGTTTGCCCACTGTTAAGTGAGTGTCCTCCCCTCTCTGAACCTTAGAAGAGGCTGGCTACATCTAGACTACACCTGGGGAGATAGGGGATTAAACTCCCCTTTCTAGAGGGGGTAGTATCCATGTATTTTTTTTTCATTTATTTTTACTGTTTATACTATTAAAGATGTCTCCATTACCCCACCCTCTCCTGTAAGGAAAATTTGCTTCTTCATACACATTTATTTATTTATATACTCATTTATTTATATGAGTATGTTCGTGCATATTTATTTTATATTTTGAATTATAATCCAATACACTGCCTAGCAACTTTTAAAAATAACAGACCTTATACCTGAGAGTAACACTCCAAATTGTTGAATAATTAAGCCAGTTCCAAATGCAAAGTAGCTAGCCATATTTTGGGGAAAAAATGTACATATCTGAGTAATTCTATAGAAAGCAAATTGATTCAAAAACTCAAACAAGAAAAAAAATGTTTTTGATCCTCACCTGAGGATGTTTATTGATTTTCGAGAAAGTGGAAGGGAAGAGAAGAGAGACAGAGACATCAATGTGAGAAACATCAATCAGTTGCCTCTGCACACGCCCGGACCGGGGATCAAAGCCACAACCTGGGGAGGCGTCCTGACCCGGAATCAAACCCACAACCTTACGGTATACAGGACGATGCTGTTTACAGAGCCACCCGGCCAGGGCAAGGAAAATATTTTTAATGTTTAAATTAATATGCATTTGTCAATGATGACATTTAAAATCTACCCCCACCCCATTCCCCAAATGGCTATTCAGACATCTACCTTAACTGCCCAGACACCATGATGGCCACTCGGTCACAGACAGCCTCCGCCTCTTCCATATAGTGAGTGGTCAGAATAGCAGCCCGCTTTTTGTTTTTAAATGCAGTTCGAATTGCTCGCCTACAGAACGTAAAACAGAAAAAGAGGAAAGGATCTGAGTGTTGATAAAAATACCTGGGTTTTTAAAAATCTAACAAGTTGGTTAATTAGGGTTATTAGAGCATTAAATTTCAATTGCTACAGTTATATTTTTGCCCAATTATGATTTTTCTATTTATTTATTCCTCTTATTTTTAAAAGCTTGTCAAATAGACAGAAATTCCATGATTTCAAATGTTTCCACGCTTTAAAAAAATGAATGGTAAAGATTGATGTCTTCATATTATAACACAATAGCCATAGAATCATAGAAAAACCTTAACATGAATCTAAACCAAACTTACATTTTATAGACATATACCTAAACCCAAAAAGTTGGTTACTTAATTGGCACTGTGAATTCTTAGAAAGAGTTCCAACATAAATCCAAGACAGTATTATTATGAGAAAGAACTACAATTTATATGCCAAATGACAAGAAAAAAGTCTTTTAAAAGCTCTTCAGACAGCAGTACTCTTTATTTTAATAATTACCTATATATACTCATTTTTGTTCTGAAGTATATGAAATACTCATAGTTCATGAAAAATATGATAAAGTTCTAAAAGTTTAAGAGATTCTCTACAAATTAAAATATTTAATTTTAATCACTATTTCATTATTTGTATAGGATTTAAAATCAACAGGCATATATACTACTAATATAAAACAATTTTAATAATAAAATAAACTATTCTTTTATTCTAAAGGATGATCGAAGCATAATGTGTCACCAGGGCATTTAACGTTATACTCACCACATGTGCTGTTTGGCCTTAGGATCCATACCTGTTGATGGTTCATCTAGCAAAGTAATCTGGGGGTTCCCCAGCATGCTCAGAGCAAAACACAACTAAATGGAAAGAAAATGGGGGAGGGGGCTTCAAAACCAGGAATTTCATCACGACAGTATCAGGCACTAAACTATCAATACAACATACACATATTTGTTGTTTAATGAAAGTACCTTTCGCTTGATTCCTGCAGGTAGTTTCTTTACAGTTTTCTGGAGATGTTCTTTTAAATCAAGTGCGTTTGTTATTCTGCAAAATAGACAATACAAACTAAGTGCATTATCATTCACTCCGATCACTGTCTTTTATCTAGAACACTAAACTTTCTACAATCAGACCTCCAATTTATATCATTTTAAACAAATCAATGTCCTGACTAAAGGTTCACTTTCAATTAAAGTAAGTTTAATTCTACAATTAGAAATAGAAAAATTCCCTGTTTATTTTCATACTTGCCATAATTCTGTAAAGAATGTATTATAAGGTAATGACCATTTTCTATGAAAATTATGATACAAAGAAATGCCTGTTATGAAATTTTTAAAATGTGGAACATCAACTTTCATGTAGGTAGCAAAAAGATTCTAAAGTTTACCGATTTGTGATTTCCTTTAGGTCACTTGGACTCATTCCCTTCACGGCTCCATAAATTTCAAAATGCTCCTGCAACGTAATATCTGGCCACAGTGGGTTCATCTGAGGACAGTATCCCATACACTTAATGGAATCATCATCCTCAGTTGGGTCTGATGAATAATCTCCTAGAAATACCTACAGAAATATAAATCAATTTTAAGTAACTATTTTTGCTTAAGTTACATTGTGAAGGAAGTAGCAAGTAAATTAATTCAAATTCCTTCCTAGAGCTAGGGCAAGATTTTTACTCCTTTTGATGAAGAAAAGACATGCACAGCTTGTGACATGGCCAATAATAGTGATTAGGAATGCAGCATTGATTTGGAAAGCAAGCCCAGTTTTAACTAGGATGATCCAGGGCTTAAACTGGAAGGTGAAATTGGAGCCAGGAAAAGTAAGCAAATTTGGTCACTGGGATTTCTACAAGGTAAAGAATCGCCAACATAAAAAATAATTAAGGCAAAAACCCAAAGAAAAGAGTGTGCCTGGCATTTTCCAGGAAAGCAATGAGCCAGTGCAGTTGGTGTGAAGTGAGCAAGAGAAGAGGAGATAGGATCAGAGCAGTTCTGTGACATTTCCACAAAGTGACGGATGATGTTCTAGTGATCGAAGACTAACTGATGGTAATGAAAACACCAGCAGCCATGCCTCCTCGAGTTACCACTACTGTCTTCCATTAAGTTGGTGGACAAATCACTCATGCATGTAACAATTATAAAAGCAGAAACACTTTATATGTGTGTCTGCATGTAATAAAAATTTTACTACATGCACATTATTTTCATAGATAACCAAAAAGATCACTATTTTATACTACAAATTTAATATTAAAAACATAATATTTAAGCATCGAAATCCTAATTTGTGATTAAAAATTGACTTCAATGAAAATTACGAATCATAGTCAATATATCCCACATCCTATACGTCATACCTGGCCTGAAGTTGGTTCAATTTCACCAACCAGAATGTTAATAATTGTGCTTTTGCCTGCGCCATTTGGGCCCAGCAGGCCCAAGATCTCTCCTAAAGGAAATGAGAGAAAAATCATCATATGTAAATCAAATTTAAAATGGAAATTACTCTTCTGAAACCATATTTAAGAAAAAACCTAATTAAATACCAGCCTTTTTTCACACAGAAAGAGACGTATTTAGTTGCCACTTTCTTCACTTTTCTTGTAAGAAAATCTTTCTTGTTATCATATTCCTTATGCAAATTGCTGACCATAATGGCTGGTTTCTAACAAGGGAAACAGGATTTAAAAGGAGAGTTATAAATCAGAAACCTGTCATTAAATAACAGGCTGCACACAACTCATATCCATATCATAAGAACTGTATTTGCAAACACGTATGAATGAGTCATGGACACAGACGGCAGAGAGGGGACTGACTGTGGGAGAGCGGGTGGGCTGGCTGGAGGGGGCCACAGGGGAAAAACTGGGACTATAACAGAATAAAAAGTAAAAAAAAAATAAAGTAGAAAAAAAAGAACTATATTTGCTAATAAAGGATACTATTCAAATAAATGTCCATTTGTTGCTGAAATAATGTCATATTCAAAACTAACTGGACAATCTCACAGTGGTGGCCAGAGCAGCGGTCATGGGATGGCCACACGTGCCCAGCAGAGCAGAGGGGGGCAGCCCAAGAGCCCAGGGAACTTTCTGGAGCCGATAAGGGATACAGCAGTTCGGTCAATATTGTTTTAACATGCCTGAAATAAATCAGATGTCCTCAGTGCATCTGAGTCTTGGTGAGCAGACATGGGAATCCAAATGGAGAAGCATAAAGAAGGCCAACAAGCTGTTGCTAACAAAGCTTTGAACCTGCGCTTCCCAAACCAGTTCAGAAACCATCCAAAAGCAATGTTAATAATAGCCCAGCATAGACAGCACTCCAGCCAACTGTGGAAGTGAATGCACTTGCTATGGAAAGGGGAGAGCCTGACCTCTACAGGCCTTTAGATCCAAGGCCTTTCCCCAAAATACAGAGCTAATTACAAAATCAGGGTGGGCACCATCAGAGGACTTCTCAGAACTCATGATATGTTTATACACATTATAACACTTCTACAAGCCCTGGCTGGCATAGCTCAGTGGATTGAGCGCGGGCTGCGAACCAAAGTGTCACAGGTTCAATTCCCATTCAGGGTACATGCCTGGGTTGCAGGCCATGACCCCCAGCAACTGCACATTGATGTTTCTCTTTCTCTTTCTTTCTCCCTCCCTTCCCTCTCTAAAAAATAAATAAATAAAATCTTTAAAAAAAAACTTTTACAAATGTATATAATGTATAAGATTCCCCATACTCATTTGGCCATGGATCCTGTTATGTTAATGAATCACATGTGGATACAGAACAAAATTTAGGAAACGCTGGTTTTCGTGATTTGCTCGAGGTCCTAACAATTAGTTAAAAGATGATTAATTTCACTCAGTTTGGCCAGGAATGTCAGAAACACACAGTGAAGAGTCTTTGAAATAAATAAGCCATGAGTTGATGACTGAGTTTAACAATATCTTGGAAAATATTAAGTCTAGACTTTCAGTGGATGCAACTTTGTCAAACTGCCAGCAGAGCTGCAATTATGTTTGAAGTTACTCTGATTGACTAAATCTTTTTAAAAAACAGTGTTTCAAATGACCCAAGTAGTATCTGTATTGTTTTTAGTGAGTTCAATTATTTGAACAGTGGTTTTAAAAAAACATCTGTACCTGCCATACTAGTTTCTCTTGGAATAGAATAGCTGTGTTTTGTTGTTTTTAAAGAGGGGAATCTGTTTCCTTTAGTTTTATAGGTTTGAGAAATGCTGAGTCAAGGAAAGGTTAAAAGTTTTCTTAATGTAGAATTTCTCAGAGCTCTTACTTTTCAACTTTTGTATATATTTTATCTTTTGATTTTTTGTATTACTTTTATATATTAATATTTAAAAAATTAATTTGAAATTAATGTAAACATCAGGACATTCCTGCATTTCAGCATCTAATCTGCCATTGTCAGTTTCATGGGTATCCTCTCAGGATATTCTCTGGACATATTTTTTTTTTTTTTACTTAAGAAAATTTCATTCTCTAACAATAATCTGAATCTTTTTTTTAATTTGAAATATACCTTGCAGATCACTAAAAAAAAGTGGACAAAATATTTTTCAAATACTTTTTTTCAGATTGATTCATATAGAAAGAAAACACGTTTCAGGTTAATTCCTATTCGTGGGCGCTGATCACTGCACATGTAACATGACTCAGCAATAAAGACGGCATTACCTCTTCACAGCACTGGCAGCTCATCAGCTCTCTGACCTTTAGTCTTTCAGCTCTGACATCTTCATCTTCATCTTCATTGCTCGGTGGTTCTGGAACCTTCCTATTTTTGGATTTTGTTGAAAGGGTCCTAAACATATCAAGATAGTAGATTTTCAGATAGTTAAAATAGTAAGAAACTAAAGCACTACAAAGAGAAAAATATGAAAAAATACACCAATATGAGATTCGTGGTTATCTGTGAAAGATGGAAAAGGAGCTATTTTTCATTCACTGATACCATTTAGATGATATTATCTAAATTCATTCATTTATACCTATATTATTTATGACCAGTATGTGTCAGGCACTACTTCACAAAAAAAATAAAAAGATAAAACAACCACCACCAAAAAAAGAGGGGCCGCTCCCTCAAAAGAATTGACAGTCTGGGTATAAATCAGACTCCACTGAGCACATGTAAAGGGCTGACAATGGAACCAACAGAGACCACCACAAAGGCAGGCAGAGAAAAAAATGCTTCCAAGGGAAAATCTGACTTTAAGTACTAGTGAGGAAAACAGGAGTCGACACATGGGAAAAAACAGAACAAGGGAAAAGTATACAGAGAAGAAACCAAGCACACAAGGCTGCAGATTAAATAAGTTGAGCCTACTTGACAAGACAGAAAAGCAAGTCATTAGCTATCTTACTGAAAATAGTGTCAACAGAGAGATAAGGATAGAAACACGTGAATCACCAGGGAAATGCAAACGAAAACCACAACGAGACACCACTTCATACCCAATAGAATGGCTAAAATAAAAAAGATAAACAGTAGCAAATACTGGCACGAATTTGGAGGAAACAGAATACGTCCCTAACGGGAATGTACAGCGGCCTCCCCTTTCGGGCAGTTCTGCAGTCTACAGTTTCAGTGACTTGCCATCAACATCAATGGCAGTCCAGAAAATGTTAAATGGAAAACTCCAGAAACAAACATTCATAAGTTTTAAGTGTCATGCTGTTCTGAATAGCACGATGAAATCTCACACCGCCCTAACTCCCTACTCTGTCCCAGTGGGGACATGAGTCATCCCTTTGCTATCAAGTCCCTCCGGGTTATCAAATTGACCACCATTTCAGTATCACAGTGCTTATGTTCAAGTAACCCTTATTTTACTTCATACATGTCCCTAAAGCATAAGAGCAGCAATACTGGCTATTCAGACTTGCCAAGGAGAAGCCATAAAGTGCTTCCTTTAAGTGGAAAGGTGTGTATATATATAGGAAAAAACACATCATACATAGGGTGTGGCACTATCTGTGATTTCAGGCATCCACTGGGGGTTTTGGAGCATGTCTGCCACAGACAAGGGGACACTAATGTAAAATGATGCAACCAGTTTAGAAAACAACAGTCTATCGGTTCTTCAAAAGGTTAAACATAGTTACCATGTGACCCATCAATTCCATTCCTAGGTATCCTCCTAGGAGAAATAAAGATGTATGCCCACACAAATACCTGTACACAAATGTTCATAGCAGCATTATTTGTACTAGCCAAAAAGTGCAAACAACTAAAATGTCCGTCAACTGACAAATTGAAAAAGTGTGGCATAATCATAAAATGTAATTATTACTCAGCATAAAAAAAAGGAATGAAGTACTAGTACATGCTACAACATGGATGTGACTTAAAAACATTACACTAAGTAAAGGAAGCCAGACCACAAATAAAAAGACTATGTATTGTATAATTCCACTTACATGAATGTTCAAAATTGGCAAATCTATTATTTGGAGATAGCAAGTAGATTTGTGATTATATAATATAGGGCTAGGGAGCATGGGTGGGTGCAGGGAAGAGTGACTACTAATGGGTACAGGGTTTCTTTTTGGGGTGATAAAAATTATCTAAAATAAGATTACAGTAAAAGTTGCACAACTCTAAACATGCTAAAAAATTTTAAAACTTAAAAAAATGAGCTAACCTGAAAAAGGGATCCTTTCTTATTGATCTGCCTCCATATTTTTTCTCATAGTACTGTAAGAGGAAAACCCATAGTACGCACTGCAGGTAAGGCTGAAAAACACAGAATAGCTCATGAATGAATCTCTTTTTTCTCTATCAACAGAGCAAAGACCACATACTTTAGTTTCCTTACCAACACCAAAAAAATTAACCAAAATTTTTTTGTATGTCTTATCATTTAAGAATAGATTTTGATACAAGCCAAGGTAGATTTTTAGTAAGATAATCTTTCATATATTTTTCTCTCTGTAAAGTTCATTTCTATCTCTGTAAAGTTCACTGGTTATCAGCTTCAGAAAATAAAAAGAAAAAAAAAGAAAGAATAAAAAGAAAAAAGCATTTGTTTATATCTTCTAAGGAAGACAGAATCATAATTAAACAGCATCGTTAACATGAAAAAGCCAAGAATATTAAAATGAACATATTCAGTAAATGAAAAGTATTACCATCAAAATGCACACCCACTAGTATTAACTAATGCACTTAACTTTTTATGCGCCTTCATATTTATGCAACAGGATAGAAACTAAAAAGAGTTAAATTCGTACAACCAAAATCTTCTTAAGGTAGCATGCTAACACAGAAACATTTTGTTATTGCTTACCGATATAACAGCCACGAAAAGCCTATCCCATGGATTATGAGTTTCCTCATTGTTTTGACCATTCTTCCAAGAAACCTAAGAAAAATGATTGAAAATGTATACGCTGCTGTGAGGTTGTGACATGATAATTAGTCTTTGACTCTAGTTTTGGCGCAGAGCGTTTGACACTGTTGGAATTTCCTGTGTGTTGGAGGTAACAGGAGTACCTTTTATTATTTGAAAAAAGCCCCTTTCTGTTTTGTTGTCTGTTCCTTTTGCCGTGTGTGCAGAGGCTTTCTAGCTTGGTCAGTCCCAGTCATTTATTTTTGCCTTTACTTCCCTCGCCTTTGGGATCAAACTGATGAAATGTTGCCTGTGACCAAGGTCCATAAGTTTAGTACCTGTTTTCTTCTACATAATTTGTTGTTTCAGATCATATATGTAGGCCTTTGATGCATTTTGAATTAATTTTTGTACATGGGGACAAACTGGAATCTAGTTTCATTCTTTTGCATGTGGCATTCCAGCATCATGTATCGAAGAGGCTTTCTTTACTCCACTGTGTTTTTGGTATTTTGTTCTTTTTGTTGCAATTTCAAAAGGAATTGTTTTTTCATTTCTTTTTCTAAAGTTTTATTGTCATATAAAAGAAAGCTGTGGATTTTGTACATTGATTTTGTATTCTGCAACTTTACTGCATTTGTTTATTGTTCCTAATAGTTTTTTTGGTGGGGTCTCTAGGGTTTTCTATGTACGGAATCATGTCATCTGCAAAAAGTGACACTTTTAATTCCCATTTCTGAACGGGAGATGGTCTTTGCAAACAACAGATCCAACAAGGGGTTAATACCCAAAACATGTAAAGAACTCACACAACTCAACACCAAATGAACAATCCAATTAAAAATGAGCTGAGGACCTGAACAGATACTTCTCCTAAGACACACAAATGGCCAACAGATATATATATGATGTTCAATTTCACTATTAGAAAAATGCACATCAAAACTACAATGAGGTACTACCCTACACCCATTTATCAACAAGATACGTAATAACAAGTATGGGCGAGGCTGTGAGGAAAAGGGAACCCCTCATTCACTGCTAGTGGGCATGTGATGTAGACTGGTACAGCCGCTATGAAAAACAGTCTGGCAGTTCCTTAAAAAATTAGGAGTAGAGTTATCACTTGAGCCAGCAATCCCTCTTCTGGGTATCTACCCAGAAAACTAGAAAACATTTATTGGCAAAGATACATGCACCCCTATGTTCACTGCAGCATTATTCACAGTGGCCAAGACATGGACACAACCAAAGTGTCCTTCAATAGAATAGTGGATAAAGAAGATGTGGTACATTTGCACAATGAATACTGCTCAGCCCTAAGATTAGATGAAATACTGCCACTTGTGACAAGATGGATGGACCTTGAAGATATGCTAAGTGAAGTAAGTCAAACAAAGCTAAGAACCATATGATTTCACTCATATATGGGATATAAAACTGAAACTCACTGACACAGACAACAGTATGGTGGTTACCAGAGGGAAGAAGGTGGTGGGGTGCTGGGGTAAAGGGGGCCAAATATTTGGTGATGGAAAATGATTTGACTTTGGGTGGTAGTCACACAATGCAATATACAGCTCGTGTATTGTAGGAATGTATACTTGAAACCTATATAATCCTATTACCAATGTCACTCCAATAAATTTAATACATTTAAAACAATAATAATAATAATAATAATAATAATAATAATAATAATAATAATAAAACAAGCCCCTTTCAACTCAAGTTGAGGTGGCTGTTAGAAGATGAGGGCTGGTTGCCAGAGGAACCAACCAGGTGATTAGAAGGCTGGAACTTTCAATGCCATCCATTCACTGACCCATAATGGGGGAAAGCAGTTTAGAGATTAAGTCATCATGCCTAAGTGATGGAACATTCATAAAAACCCTAAACACGGTTTGAAGAGCTTTCAGGTAACGAATGCATCCACATGCTACAGAACGGCACACTCCACACTCCACAGGGGCAGAAGCTCCTGTACTGGGGACCTTCTGTACTTTGCCCTATGCATCTCTTAACCTGCCTATTCAATTGCATATAATAAACTGGATAGGAAATACTGTTTCCCTGAGTTCTGAAAGCCATAATAGCAAATTACTGGAGCTGAGAAGGGTCATGGGAACCCTGGGTTTATAGCCAACTCAGACAGAAGGAACCCACTACTTGTAACTGGCATCTGAAGTGGGGGGAGTAGTCTTATGGGACTGAGCTCTTAATTTTCTTTTTAAGTAGAGTCTGTGCTAACTCCACGTAGTTCATGTAAGTATTGCTTCACGTGAGAAAAACAACCCACACATTTGGTGTTGTAAGTTTGAGAAATAGTTTCATTTTAGCTGCAATGTGTAGAAATATTTGGATTAAAATTTTAAAAATGCATTTTGTTCAGCAAATATGTATTCTGTATAAACAAGTTAGCTATTACTATTAATAGCTATGATTTGTTCTTAGATTACATTTTCCCCATCCCAAAATATGGGGGAGAAAAAAACATATTAAACTGATCAAAAGGGGGGGGTAAAGAGATTAGTGAATAGAATTAATCAACAATCATCCTAAGTCACTTAATTTTTTTAATCATATGGAATTTTTTAATTATCCAGGCTAAATAAAACTAATCTGTGGCTTTTTCTTTGAAAAAATAAAACAACTCTATACTTTATTTCTGTTATCCCTTTAAAGGACAATATATTATTTAATCCTTGCTAACTGAAGTCAGATCATACTTACAATTTATGCATATACACCATTTGGGGCATCAAAGAACATCTAATAGACATAGTCCTTTAAGAGATTTAAAGGTTTAAAAACATGCTTAAAAAGATTCCACAGTGATTTTAAACTGCTTCATTAATAACATTTAAATCAAGTAGTAGCAACTAACATGTAAGGTTTTTTAAGAATTGCTTTCAGTACAAGACCTAAGATGTCAAAGGTTAAGCACTATTTATGTTTTTTAAATATTAAAACACCTAGTAGACCTACCTTTATGAAACAAATCAGACAACCTAAAAGTGGATAGATTGGAATGGCTATGCAAAAGGTATAATGGAGAACAACTGTAATCGTGTATCCCAGAAAGTAAGTGATTTCGGTGACTGCAATGCAAACCAACGCTGTCTAAAGAAAAAAAATAAGAAAACAAGTGAAAAAGTGTTTAGAGATTTCATACTCAACATTAACTATGTTGTCAATCTTCTATTAAAACAAGGAACCAGAGATGATAACTTGGCAGGGAGTCCCAGCGCACTGGCACCAGTTGCTTTTGGCTGGCATCCTCGCCATGCAGTTCTAAAATGCTTTCAATATCACCCCCTCACAGAGGGGATGATGCAGAAGACAAACACACAGACAATGAGATGCTGCCAGCTATCTAAGTCCTTAGAAAAGACACAGCAATATTTTTCAGTATTAACCTGAGAGAATTCATGACTCTTTTTTTCTAGTATAAACATGAGTTTCAAATAAACTGCTATGAAAATTTGAAATGAAATAATATAAAGTGGGACTTACCACAGAATAGATAAATGACCAGATTTCTTTGGTATTTACAATTTTTTTAAAAGTGAAAGAAGTAATATAGGTAAACAGAATAACTGACGGAACATAACCAATAAGACAAAAAACCTGTAAAACAAAAATAAGTAATTTTACATAAAAATATAAATAACTAGCAATGCACAGAAATAAAGTATTAAAGTATTAAAGAATAATTATTCTTCAAATTTTATTGCTTAAGAAATCACTCCAAAAATTGAAATTTTGGTTACTTGAGTTACCATGCACATTGCTCCTAAACAATAAAACTCGTGCCTTTAACTAATTAATTAATTTAAACTGAACAGTTTTCTTTGCCAAGTACAATGCTATCTTTTAGTCTGTTACAAAAGCAGATGAAGCTTGTTAAAACATTTTCTCAATGAACTATTAGTTACCATTTTAATATATAGCACTTAATGCATTTTGTATATTTTAAAAAGCCTTATTAATTTACAATACAAAAATATGTAAAATCAGTGTGATCTCTGGCAAAACAGAGAAATTTACTTTCAGCAACCCAGACCTCATCTAGCTCTATTTTCCTCACATAAATCATTCATATAAAGGGTCTAGTAACAGTCACTTATTTACACGTGAACATGAATGCAAATCGTATGCTTCCTTAGTATTTCAAACCATATTTCAGATTATGAATCAAAGGAGTTCCTTGCAAAATTATTTTCAGGCACAGGGACAAGTAAGGCATTTTAAGAAAGAACTGCTTAAGTATTTCTAATTATACATAAGTAGGTAGTCAATGTAAAAGACAGCTTCAGTTTCAAGGAATTATTTTATAATGGTTGTACGTTATTGCTTTAAAAATTGTTTAAATTACACTGATTACATGTATCATATATTGGGCTGGCCAAAAAGTTTGTCCTGTTTTTAAGTAGAAATAAGACTCACATTTTTTCATTTTCACCAACTTATTTGAACAACGTATTCACCATTTTGTTCCACTACCTTAGACCATCTCTCATGCAACTTTGTCATTGCATCTTCCAAAATGTTTTGAGCAAAGAGCTGTTCCAGGTGCTTTTTGCAGTCTTCCAGGGAACTGAAATTTTTCCCTTTAAGAGAATTTTGTAAAGACTGAAATAAATGGAAATCCAAAAGTGCAATGTCTGGTGAACACGGTGGGTGAATCAGAGCTTCCCAGGCAAGCGGTAACAGTTTTTGCTTGGTCACCAAAGAAACACGCGGTCTTGTGTTATCCTGATGTAAGATTATGGGTTTTCTGTTGACTAGTTCCGGGTGCTTTTCATGGAGTGCTGCTTTCAGTTGGTCTAATTGGGAGCAGTACTTGTTGGAATTAATTGTTTGGTTTTCCAGAAGGAGCTCATAATAAAGGACTCCCTTCCAATCCTACCATATACACAACACCACCTTCTTTGGATGAAGACCAGCCATTGATGTGGTTGGTGGTGGTTCATTTTGCATGCCCCATGATTTTCTGTCCTACATCACTGTAAAGTATCCACTTTTCATCAACTGTCACAATTTGTTTTAAAAACAAAACATTTTGGTTAAGTTAAAGTAGAGAATCGCATGTGGAACAGTCAAGAATGGTTTTTGGTTTGTTTTTTTTTTTTTTTTTTGGCTTAACTTATGTGGAACCCGAACATCAAAGTGATTAACACAACTGAGCTGGTACAAATGATTTTCAGTGCTTGACGTGGATATTTTGAGTGTGTCGGCTATGTCCTGCATGGTACAACACCGACCCTGTTCTCAGTTAATGTCTCAATTTGATCCTTATTACTGGTAAATTCAACTGATCTATTTGACTGTGGAGCATCATCCAGTGAGAAATCTCCAGCATGAAACTTTGCAAACCACTTTTGACACGTTTGATCAGTCACAGCACCTTCTCCACACACTTTACAAATCTTTTCTTGTATTTCAGTTGCGTTTTACGTTTCTTGAAATAATAAAGTATAATATGCCAAAAATATTGCTTATTTTCTTTCATTTTCAATATTAAAATGACTACATAAAAATTCACTAAGTTTGATAATTGTTTTAAATGCATGCTGATATGACAGCTGTCACAATAACAGTCTAAGAAAATTGTTTTGAGTGAAGTTAAAGACAATTAAACACTACTAGAACCATCTTACAGGAAAAGACAAACGAACTTTTTGGCCAACCCAATACAATAATTAAATAGACACTGGTTCTGGCTGGTTGAGTAATTAGAAACTGCTCCCAATTAACTTTTCTAGTCAAAAAGTTAATATCCAAATTACTCAACCAGCCCATTGTCTCGTTTGTAAAGACTCCAGTTTTTAAAATAGCATTTATATAGAATGAGTACAACTGATGTTAACTTACCACAGAAAGGAATTTTACAGGATAAAAATATAATCCATAATGAAATGCAAATAAACTTCCCAGCATCAAAATAAGAACAGCATAAAATATAGGGATATCAACAATAGCTTGTCCAATCCAATATGCAGATGGCAAAAGACCTGAAAGTTTAAGTTGAGTATAAGCTTTGATCTAAAAATAAATAAAAGGAAAAAAGTGATTATACTTTTAAATATTTTACAAACAAAAACTCTAGCAAATTCCTGTAGAACTCTTAATTTTTAGATCAACAACAAAAGTTTATATTCCAGGAATACAGGTAATAAAAGCCCTCCTTATAGCTGAATATAAATTTGATTTAGCATTTATAACTTGGATCATTATTTCTGAGATGTAATGATTTCAATGAAATTTTCAGAACCACATTATAGCAGTGCTGCTAAGAAACACAAAAGTAAGATAAAACGAAAGGTCACTGGGGTTAGAGCTGTACAATAGTGATTCTACATCACGGTAGTCAAAACACGACTGCTTGTGGAAACAGATGGAAAGACATGCTCTAAACAACAAAAGGAATCTCACTTTTAAAAAATGCCCTTTCTCAAAAACACTAATAAATGGCCAACTACCCTCTGAGCTTACATGAGGCTTTCAACTTATGTATAAATGATGCATTTAAAAGCTTTTTATATATTCTTGTGTAGTACATAAATGAAAGCTGTTATTGCTACCACAAGTAAATAGCATTTTCATGAGTACTAAGAGTAACTTAATTGATGCTAGTTTTTCTTTCTAATGCTCTCATTACTTAATTTGAAATTTTAAAAACCTTTTACAAGTCCATATGCCTAATATTTTTATTCAGTTGATTTCTGTCATCTATAAAAAAATCACCCCTGATAATCAAAAGTTGTAAAATGAAAGAACTAGCCATAGAATGAGGTAAGGGAATCATGGGATATACAGTTAAGATGAAGAGGAGAAATGATTTTTAAAAAAGGGACAACTTTTATGTTCAATGAATTATAAAAACAAAAATATAAATTCCAATATAAGGATAAAAACATAACCCAAGTCAAATACAATTATTTTTGATAACCCAGATGAATGCTTTTGTTATTCGTACAATGCTGGTGGGAATGTCAAGCAGTAAATCCACTCTGGAAAACAGTTCAACAATTTTTTATAAAACTACCAGCAAGCTTTCAGCAGCTTTACAACACAGCACCGTACTCTTGGGCATTTATGCCAGAGGCATAAAAACTTATGTTCACACAAAAATCTGTACACAAATGTTCACTGCAGTTTAATTCTTAATAGTCAAAAATTGGAAACAACCCAAACCCACACCATGAAATACTAACCAGCAATAAAACAATGAAGTAATGATACATGCAAATGGGATGGCTCTCCAGAGAATTATGCTGACTGACAACAGCCAATCTCAAAAGAAAACATGCTGTTATTCCATTAAATTATTTTTGAAACATCAAAATTATAGAAATGGAGAACAAATTATTGATTTCCAGAGGTCAGGGAGGGGGCAAGCTGGATAGGTGGGCTTGAGAAAGGCATCAGAAGGGACCTTTGTGGGGACAGGACCACTCTGTCTCTTGATGTCAGTACCCTGGTTTTCTATGGACTACAGTTTTGCAGGATGTTTTTATTAGGGTAAAGTGAATAAGGGTACACAGGATCTCATTTTATTATTTTTTACAACCTAATATAAATCTACAATTACCTCAAAATAAAAATTTGAATTAAAAACCATTTAAGTGGAAACAAAAAAGAGAAAAATGCAATTGTCCAGTCAGTTTTATCTAAGTGGCAAAGATTATAGATCATTTTTATTTTCTTTATACTTCCCTATATTTTCTAAATTAGTACAAAAACAGGTGTAACAGACAAACTGAATACACTTTTAAAATATCTACTGAGACTCATATATTACTTTTATATGAGGCTTAACCTCATTATTAATCTCACTGTATAAATTAATTTAGATAAATTTGTTTCCATTGAACTAAGTAAAGAGACACAATGAGAATTTTTTGTAGAGGAGTAAAAAAAAAGAGACAATCTCAGCAGAGTGGAAGAGTGGAAGACTTTGAACTGTTGAAAGCTGTATAAGATCACCTGCATCTGCTTGGGTGGAGGATATTAAAAAGAGAAAGGAACAGAAAAGAAGGTGAAAGAATACTAAAAAACCTCTATACACACTGCAGTTTTTCCTCAGCCCTTGTGATGACAGTCATTTTCCACCTTCTTTTTTATCACTTAACATCAAATTAAGTGCCTTATACAATCAATATATTCCATTAAAGGTTAGAGGGGTGTGTACCAATAAGAACATAAGGTTCATAGTTCCCAGATCCACTAGTTAAACAAGATGAGTCAACCTGGACCCATTATGTGAATATTCCCATCCTCCATTTCCTGACCTAAAAAGTGGGTAACAAAAAACTTACCTCATACTGTTGTAAGGATTAAAGGATATAACTTCTAAAGAAGATGGCAAGAATTTGAGTAATAATTGATACTTATTACTACAAGGTGAGGCAAATGTAGGTTTACAGTTGTTCATATGAAAAATAATATAATAAATAACAATACAAGAATAAACTCTGTGTTTCCTGTATTTACAACTACAAAACCTACTTTGCCCTACCTGTATTACTATAAGAAATAATAAATGTGTTTACACACCATTTGCTTACTCCTGAAATAATAATTATACATAAGTCTTGCATTCATGCAAATATGTTATTAGCAAACTATACCTGTAATTTTCTAACTGAGTCATTACCTTGTGATTCTCTGCATTTTCCATGGCAAAGTAAGGTGGCATTGCAGTAACAATGATTCCAAGTAAAGCTGCTTGAAAGTACAGCTCAATTTTAAAAACTATATCTGTAATTTCCTGAAAAAGAACCACACAATAAGAAATGGAACTGAGAATCACTTGATATCATCTTAGGACCTTCTGTTTTCTTTTTTTTCTTTCTTGTTAAACTTATTGGGGTCACACTGGTTAACAGGGTCATGTAGGTTTCAAGTATACATGATGGTGATATGTGATCTGTGTACTGCACCATGTGCCCACCAGTGATAGCACTTTCTAAAAGACTGTCGGAGCCCCTGGACAACACATTAGGGTAACCATCCTAGGCAGAGTCTGTATGAAGAAACAGGTGGCAGAGTTAACCAGCAGTGAGCCATAGTACCAACTTTGCTACTTACTAAATAGCTGTATGATCCTGAGCAAATCATTATACTTCCATTTTCTTATATACAACACTGAATATGGCATAGAAATTCAACTTTACCACTTAAAGTAATAATTACATGAAAAGCTGTTAATATATCCATCAGTGGCCCCATGCAATGAACATGACTATCTCAGAATCATCTTTGGTGCCTTCATTAGTTTTCCTAGACTATAAGCAAGCTGGGGTCTTGGGGCCCTACTTCTCTCCAAACGGCCCCAGACCGGGAGCTTCTTCTCCAGAGCAGGGGGTACTACAGCTGCCACAGGCCCCAAAGGTCCCTAGCTGTTCCAGGGGTGGTGCAGACAGCAACCTTTTCCAAATGACCTTGTAAACAGCTGGTGCCCAAATGCAAACAACTAAGAACCAAGAGCACTTTGTTACCTCCCACCCTCAACAAGGCCATTTCCTTGCCCTCGTTCTGTAAGATATGCCCATGGGACAGGGAAAATACTCTGCACTACAATGGAATAGTTTGACTGTCCAGCAGATACTGTGGCCCTGGCACACCCCTTCACAGGACTACGTGGAAACAGTGCATCTTGTTGACCCTGGCCTTCTGAGTTTTTAGCAATAGAGCCAATTTCTCAATTCATGCCATGTGACATTACAGAATTTTTTTCCCCAAACTCTGGTACATTGCAGTGGATAGAACCAACAAATATGTAACATAATTAGTATAAGAAGTGAAGATTAATGAGACTACAATTGGATTCAATCACACAGAATCTGATGAATTATGAAAAAATGTGGACCATATAAGACTACGTCAATGAACAGTGAGCTTTAAAAAATCTCATTTCTGTCCCTTCAGTTTTTGAAAATAGTATGGTTATATGTCAGTCTTTGATAGAAAATGAAAACTGCAAGATCTATTGTAAAAGTTATGGATACAAACAAATGAAGTAACATCATAACAACAGGTATGGGCATCACAGATTTTGCATTGTGATTACTCTGGAGCTGGAGAAATGAGATCAAGTACACTGGAGATTTCAAATGTATCTTTGAAATTTAAAACTTTTTCCAAGTATAACAAGATATTAACATTTGAAACATTTAGGTAGTAGACAATTGGTTATTATCTGTAGGCTTGAAATATTTCACAATAAAAAAATAAGAAGGGATGATCTACAACTTTGATGATTTCAGTATCACCTACGCACTGGTGACTCATAAATTTATTTATTTATTTATTTATCTATCTATTTATTTCCTACCCAGAAATCTCTCCAGATTGATATAGCCAAATGCCTATTAAATGTCCAGCAGGCGCAAATGCCAGAACAACTCAGTAGATTCAGTATCTGAAATCAGTATCTCTGTTCTCTCAAAACAAAACAAAAATCTCTCTTCTGCCTATATTCTCAAAATCAGTAAATGATACTACCATGCACCATATTACCCAAAATTATAAAAACTATAGGCTTCTTTCTTCTTCTCACCTCACAAATTCAACAGTGATGAAGTATGCCATATATTTCTTCAACATCTTTTTGCCCCGTCATTATGATTACTGCCCCTGAATTAACTCTCACACTCACCATCACCTCTCATTTAAGCTATTTAGTAAAAGAATCTTTGATTTGATTTCCTTAACTTTCTTCCAGCACAATTCTCCTCACAGAAATCCCTCACTACCCTGGTGCCAAGGAACTTTTTAAAATGTAAATTTAATGTTATTTTGTCCCCATATCTATATATAGCTGTAACAAAAAGAGTACTAAATTAATCTTTGGTGTGACTTCCATTTAAAGATGGCAAAAGATTACTAAAAAAAGTTTTGGGTGTAGATCATATGGGCATAAGACAGAAAGTAGATTACTGGCAAGCTGGTGGTGGAGGTGGGAGAAACCAGGAGTGATTTACTAACAGATACAGGGATTCTTGGGGGAGTGATGAAATATAAAACTGATTATGCAATGGGTACAGAACTCTTCAAATGTAATAAAAACCACTGAGCCGTACATTTTAAATGGGTGAATTAGATAGTATAAGATGTACATACATGTCAATAAACTGTTAAAGACAGTATGGCAATAGAGAATAAAACACGCTATTACAGAAAGATATTTGCCCATTTATTTTTCAATATACAAAAACACAAGTGATAAGAACTAAGAGAAAATGTTGGGGATTTTTCTGGAGATGGGTTAATTTTCATATTTGTGACCAACAGTACCACCTAGAAGAATTGTCTGGGTGACTTCTCAAGTTTCTTTCAATATCCCAGTTTCCAGATTTTAGTCCAACAATATTCATTTTTAAATCACATTAACTTTTCTCTGATTAATATAAAAAATACACTTATAAATATATCAGCACCAACACAGAACGCCTCCTTGATCCTGAAGCAAATGAATACTGAGGACTCCTAAACCCAGATGTAACCTATCCCCAACTCACGTTTCAAGAAGGCTAGGAGATGTCAAAGATGAGCTTCTTCACATTTTGTTACTATCGTTTATTTGGCTTTTAATACTTATTTTATACACACAAACACACTTTAAGTTTGCTTACTTGAATGAATGGGGTGTTCCAGACCTGGATGCTTTCAGTCACATTTAAATGATAAAGGTAGTAGTTACTAATGATATTCATCAGCACAGGCAAAGAGTAAACCATAGTACTGTTGAAAACAGCTGTAAAGACATAGTCCTACAATTTAAAAAAGAGAGACTTATTACACACCATATATAAATATAAACACATACACTGTTGGTAAGTACCAAGGTTTTCTCATTCACTAGGCTAATTCTCACTATCCACACTGACGGCTAGGCAGCAAATCATAGAAATAATACTCAATGATAAAGATACCCTGGTTAGGAATCTATACATATTTTTAGTCTTTTAAATAAAAATATGACATAAAATTAAATCCCTTTAAGCTTTATTTATTGGTAATCCATCAGAGCATCAAATATATTATAAATATTACTATTTCCAGAAGTAAATTCTAATTTGCAACTAATGGGGCCAAATCAGCAAATGATTAATTTTAGAGGAAATATCGTAATCTTTTATAACTTTCAAATGGGTACTCACTCGTGTACACTGCTCTTACCTTGTCTGAGGGCAGCACATTTAAAGCTGCACTATGGGGAGCAGCAGATACATAGTCACTGCCATTAAACATCGTCACCACTATGTTCTGCTTTGTGAAGAAGCTAATGAGGTCACCGATATCTGAGTCTGGCATTAGAAAATAAGCAAAGAGTAAAGAATCAGTTCAAATGAGAAACATATACAGACTTTTAATAATTTTGGAAAGGCTCTCCCTCCTTTACAAAATATTTTATCTTCGTAAACCAAGACAGAGTTAAGAACACAAGCTCTGGAGCCAGTCAACCCGGATTCAAATCCAATCAATACATACATGGGCCGTAGAACAGAACCTGAGAGAGTAACTGTGAAAATTTTAGCAGCTGCTGCTGCTACTGCTGCAGCTATAACTACTACTCACAGTGAAACTCTATCTGCCATACCTGAAATTAGGTTACACAGTTACAGTAAAAATCTGGCAATTTGATACAACAAGATAACCTGCAGGCTCAAAAAGGTAGAAGTCATGGTATGAAGTTAGGTAACATCACTCCTTAGAGGATTTTCATGTGCTCTGAACAGACAAGTTTTATAAATATCAACTGCCTTAATTGCCTTAAAATATTAAAACACACAATTATCAGGTGTCCATCTATATTCTTTAAATTGCCCAGAGCCAAGGAAAAAACTCTGAATCTTGTCTAAGGTTTAAATTCATACCAGCATGCCTGATGAATGAAAAATTTCATTCATCACAAAAGCCAGGACTCAAGGAAAGACAAATGTGACTTTGAGAAAAATTGAAACCAACCAAAGGAGAACACTATCAGTGACTAAGTAGTATGGCAGGGTGGATCAGGCTCAGCACCAAACCTGAGCGTCAGAACTGTGACCCTGGTGACATTACATTTATTCCTAACCTCGTGTCTTAATTGATCACTCACCCCCAGCTTGCCTGAGTGGCTCTGTACTCTTGAGAAGAGAGCTGTATTATAACTAAGGGAACTGTGTATACACAGAAGCCAATGATGCTTTAAGAAAACAGGGCTTTTTCTAGGACCAACAATAAGGCCGAAAAAAATATGGGATACATATGTAAGCAACTCCTGAAATACTAAAATATAACTGAAGGGACAAAACTGAAAATACTAGAACTTCTGCAGATCACTTCAGAGTGAACTCAAAGCAGAATGATTGGAGGTACATGCACAATTCCCCAAACACACAAAAATGTCACAGGATCAGAGTTTAAGGCTCTGTGCAGTACCACATTTTAGTAACATGAAATGTGCATTAAAACTCAAAACAAGAATTATAATAAAATTAAAAAATTACAAAACATAACATTTTCTATCAAAAGCAGTTTTCTATTACTGAATACACTTTTCCTCCAAAAGAATAAAAGTTTTACAATAAACTGAGAGCCATATTTTAAGATTAAATGATTTTAAGAGTAATTTATAATCATCTCCAACTATGATTATTTTAACACTAGGCAAAGCTCTTCAGTTAACAATGAATTGAAAGGAAAGATACTAAAATAAAAGTGAAGTGCTGGGAGATGTTAAACCTCAAAGAGTTCAGGAGTATACAAAGGGTTGTATGTAATACAACTTTTAACACATTTCAGCAAGGTAAGCTAATGAAGAGGCTACCGTTTTGCTGCAAGTTTGCCAGTTAGCTAATCTGGACTTGTTCTTCAAGCCCCTGGGACTACTGTACAAACTATCTTTGCAGATGGGAGATGTTGAAGGACCTACTGATCATGTAGGAATAAAAGTCTGCATTCGGTTTTATTATTTTGACAAGCAGAATCCTATGCCAGTTGTTTTTTTAATTTGTTCTGCTTGTTGCTCAGGCCATGTGTTTTTAAATTATTCTTCATATGTGACAATTACATAATAAGAATAATCCAAATAGCCACTGCAAATGTAATGTATTTGATTATAAATATTTACACCTAAGGCACTTATTCTTACTTCTGATTTTCCAGATGGCCCTTGAAAATTTTGGCTATATTGCATAAATATTACATGCAGTAATTCTAAAGTAAGTGTTTCCAACTTTTGAAATTTATTTTGCTCATCACAAACTTTGAGTGAAACATGCTACTCCAGCATATTTCAGAATAATGCTGCTACTATTAAAAAAGGAAACTCTATGATTATAAGCAGTATAAATTAGAATATTTTTTAAAACTGTCATCTATACTTTAACCAAAATTTCATTTCTGTAATATATTGCTCAGCTGCAATAAAGACTCTTATTAAATTTAGATTTGTGCAGACACAACATGCCTTTAACTTACATACATTCCTAAAATCCGTACCTTGGCCCCGTCTTCCCCCTCACCCCTACACCCCAACCAACACACATTCACAGACCTTCACACTCTCTCACCAGTAGAATTTTGAAGAAGCAGACTGGTTTTGTACTTATGAGGTTTATCTCCAGGTTTTAGGAAATATAAGTCTGGAACAAGTTTGATGGGAACCACGGCATTTTTAAAAGAGCGATGCACCAAAAACATAAAAATCTGAACTGCAAAAAAAGTTAAAAGCAGAAGCAACCTGAAAGGAAAAAAGATAACACAGCTCAAGGCACATTAACATGTAAATCTGTTTTTAAAATGTTCCTTTACATGACAGTTAAGAGGTACTTATTTTTTTTTAAAAAAGTTAAAGGGAAAAACCTGTAAAACATAGCTCTTTCCAGTAGAATTTCTACTTTCCAAAACGATCTCATGACAATATTCAATAGAAATTCAATATTTAATGACAAAATTAAAAGTTATAAAAGCATATTTTAGATCAAAGTTACTCTGAAATTTTATAGGGTTTATAAATATGCAGTTACAGCTTTTAAAGAACCAGACATTATGTCAAATTTTCATCTCTATTCTCTTATAGAAACTATTTCTTGCTCTCTCTCTATTTTAATTACTGTCCTTTTTTTAAAATCGTTGTTCAAGTACAGTTTTCTGCCTTTTACTCCCATCCCAGCCCACCCCCCCAGCCCTCCCCACCTCCCTCCCATTTCCACCCCCACCTTAGTTTTTGTCCTTAGTATACTTGTTCTTGTCAACCCTTCCCTTTTTCCCCTGAAATTCCTTCCCTTCTCCCCTCTGGTCACTGTTCAAAAACACTGAAATAGAGAATAGGCTGATAATTACTGTCCTTGCATTTTAGAAAATGTGTGATATAAAAATATTTCAGATATAAGAAAATAAAAATACAGTGAAACTCTGAATGATTGATAACTTTGAAATTTTATCCGAACTGCAAAACAACATGTGCTAGAGTCAGTTATAGGGATCATTACTCGCAGCTGACCCACTACATAATTCTGTTACCCATTCAAAATGCCCTCTGTCTGGAAGGCAGTCACCTTTCTATCTCATTGGGTGAAATATCTCCGCACTGCATGTGATGTGTGTCCCAGGCAGGCAGAGAGAGCTTGGATTAAGCTTAAATATTCTGTCATTCTCAGAAACCCTACAATTTTTAAAAAAGTCTTTCTTAACTTGTTGTAAATATACCTACATCAGCATTTCCAAAAGCATATTGCATGAAACTCCAGTTCCATAATAATAGGTGTTTTAAGTTTAAAAAATTCATGATTAAAAAACGTTTGAATGATATGATTTGGATTTGGGGCTGGTGAGTCTCTAGGGAGGTGCTGGGGGTTCCGAGGAAGGAGCAGGGCAGTCCCCTCTCGGCCCCCAGGGCCTCACTGCTGTCCAGAGGAGGGGCTGAGTCTTGCTCCCCAGCAACTTTCTTTCCCATATTTGTGATTCTACAGAGTGAATTTTTGAGAGCATTAGTGATGGTGAAATGTGAGTCTGTAGGCAAAAAGATTTCAGGTAGGACCAATGGGGAGGGGTTCCTAGGAACAGTCACAATGTATCTGCTGCTTTGGAGGGGGTGTCATACCAGAAAGAAAAGGGAAGTATGTGGGCAAGTTTGCTTTTTGTATCCTATTTTAATGACAATACAAAGATGTATTGTAGCTCTGGGCTTCAAGTGTCCTGTGCTTGTAACCATCTTTTTTGCTTTATTTTAATATTATTTTTCCTAAGACACTGATTTTCCTGTATCTTTCAAAACAAAACAAAACAAAACAAAACACACAAAAAAGACAAATTTGGAAACTGCAGGTTAAATAAAGTTGATGTAATTTCTTTACAACTTCCCCTGTGTTTTATTATGCTAATGAACAATTCTTTAAGAAAGGAAATATAAAATAATCTCCTAAAGGTATAAATGGTCAAATGCATATTTGACTACAGAACAACTTTTTGCTGCGAACTGAATGAGTCACCCTTCCCCCCAATTCATACATTGGGGCCCTAACCTCCAATGTGATAGTATTTGGAAATGAGGCCCTTGGGAAATAATCAGGGTTAGATGAGGTCGTGAAGGTGGGGACCTCGTGAAGAGACACAGGAGGGCTTGCTCTGTGCCGTCTCCTTCTCCGCAGGTGCGCAGAGCTCACGTGGGCTCCACAGCAAGGTGGTGGTCCGTGCGCAAGCCCGGAAGCGGGAATCCTCACCGCACATGGACCGTGCCGGGGCCCTAATCTGACCTCCAGTTCTCTACAACTCCGAGATGATAAATTTCTGTTGTTCAAGCCACTCAGTCTATATTATTTTATTATGGCAGCCCAAGCTAAGTAAGATACTTCTACTGTTTTTCAGGGAATATGAGGGTAGTGTTCAAATAAACTGAAACATATATATTCTTTCAGTAACGCTGAGAGGAATATATCAGATATTTATTTGATAATAAATTTGGACAAAAAAAGTAAGTGAATTCAGCATATTTCAAACATATAACAAAACTCTTGATTCTTGATTGAGTTTTATTTCTACTGCTATTTTGAATCTAACAAGATAGGTGTATGGTATGTTAAAGTACTTAATAGCATTTCCAAACAATTCAATGCCTAGCACCCCAGCACCGTATGGGACCCTCACAGAGAGAGGGGAAGGTAAGAGAAAAGGACGTCATTTAGATCCCTGCTCTCCCAGCTGCAGAGCCTCCTTCATCTAATGAATGGCAGGTGGTAACGCTTATTCATCCTGCTGTTTACTAATAAATATTAGTAACAGATGCAAAATAATTATGAAAACAGAATAAAATTTAAAAACAGTGACAGTAATTCAAAAATTTTACACAATTAGAGAATATTATGTCACTCCCTTATTTTATAAATAAGACAAAAACTGCTAGTTTAAAAAAAGGGTAAGGTTCTAACAGTGTTTGATGAAATTACCATAGTGTATTTTTCTCTCTGACACATGAAGTTATAGTTTTAATCTTTCAAAACCACAGAGATTACTTACATATGTCTACATTTTACAAATTAAAATGGTAAACACATTTGTATCCTTAAAAAAACAATGTATCAGGTAAAAGTGACATACTTACACTGATCTCACGGATTTGCTTTCGCGTTTCAAGGTAAGGAAATGAAACTTGGCTACCGTGTGCACCTGCTGTCTCCAAAGGCTCACGGTGCTCACTAGAGACGCCCGGGTCTCGGAAAGAATGAGTAAGCTCTGCTCCATCGCATCAAAGGATTTTGAATCCACTTCTTCCTCAAGTGGCTGCTGAGTAAATACACTGTAATCTATTTGCCAAGACAAAATAAAAAGGTAGGAAATTATGATACATTCCTTAAAAAGATGAAAATCTTTCTGAAGCACATGGGGGGAATCAATGGTGATGGAAGGAGATTTGACCTGGGGTAGTGAACGTGCAATACAGATGATGTATTATAGAATTGTATACCTGAAACCTGTATAATTTTATTAAGCAAAGTCATCCCAATAAATTCAATATAAAAAATAAGTAACTAAATAAAGAAGCACACATATGGCAGTGATGTAGGGCAAATGGAACCCTCACATACTTTGGCGATACTATTAAAACTGAACAGACGCACAGCTTACAACCCAAGAAATGCTATTAGGTATAAACCCAACTGAAATATGTACATATGTTCACCAAAACGCACGTAGAAGAATATCCTTCAGGAGCACCATATCTAGAATAGTCATAAAGTGGGAAGAATTCAAAAGGCTATCAACAGGTGATAAATAAGTAAGTTGTGAAATACTCCTGTAATAAAATAGTATACAACAAGGAAAGTAAACAAACTACTATTCAAGTACAGTAGTATGAATCTTATAGTAGTATGAGTAACATTAAGTAAAAGAAGTCAAACACAGCCCTGGCTGGTGTGGCTCAGTGGATTGAGTGCTGGCCTGAGAATCAAAGGGTCACCAGTTTGATTCCCAGTCAGGACACATGTTTGGGTTGCAGGCCAGGTCCCCAGTAAGGGGTATGCAAAAGACAACCACATAATGGTGTTTCTCTCCCTCCCTTTTTCTCTCTTTTCCTCTCTCTAAAAATAAATAAATAAAATATTAAGAATAAAAAAAGAAGTCAAACATAAAAGAGACCTGCTATGAGTGATTCCATTAGGCCAAAAACAGACAAAACTAATCCAGGAGGAACAGAAATCACAGTGTTATTTTTATAACAGTGACTTAACTTCAAACAGATTAAAAAAATAATAATTAAGATGGAAACTGGCTTCAGTATGAGAGCCACAAAGACTTTTTAGACTTATGCTAAATGTTAAACATGAATAAACATTAAAATTTTAAGAGTGGAATGAAATAATGCATAAAATAACATTTACGCACAACCTGGCTGTTCTGGCATCCTACCAAATCAACAGTTTAGATGGATGACTTTGTAAGATGAACAGTCTGATCCCTCTCTTCCCTGATTCAGCGCACTAATCAAATAAAAAGCAGGTGCTCAATATTGCACATCACAATCATGGTGTTCAGTAAGCACCAACTCACCTTCCATGAATTTGATATATACTAAGACTTAAAAGTAAAACACTTAAAATCAGCCAAACTAAAGGCAAGCTGATGTTAGAAAAAAATTTATTTTTTACGGCGGACTTAATGGTACTCCGGAAAAAAATCCAGCAATAGCTGAACCGAGCACACCCTTCTCAGCTTTATTCCCACTACTCAAACACTTCTGCAAACTACTTCCTATACCTCAAAATCCGTAGGTACAAGCACTACATGCACAGGCATTTTCCCCGTCTAATTCTCTCCCACTCTCCGAGTTACTGCAAACATATTCACTGATCATGCATGCTACATCCTGACTTCTAACCTCCTCTCTTTCCTCTACCCCCATACCTTTATCTCCACTCCATTTCATCAAACTGGATGCATACTCAAATTTAAGATCTTGTTCTCTCTCCAACTGCATAAGATCCAACATTTTTATGTGAAATTTCCCTCTGACTGTGATCTGATAGGATGTTCTCATCATAAACTTGACTTTTCTACTGTCTCCACGTTGGAGGGAAGCACCCGTTTCCTTTTCTCCGTGACCTTCCACTGCACCATCCTGCCACTTCAGTCATTACATGTCTCAACTCACAATCTCACCTTACACTCCACAGATTCAGCTTTGATCTTGACTGCACTGAAATGGCTCTTGTCAAGGTTACCACTGGTTTCCACACTGCCACATGCCTCAGTGTCTTCTATTTTACCAAAAACATCTCTTGTGTTCTCATCTTACTCTTCACAGCAGTCAACACATAATTGCTCACTTTCTCTTTCCTAAAATGCCATTTTGTCTCAGCTTTTAACATCTTTTTTGGCTCCTCCTCAGTTAGCCCCTTTCGGCCCTTCATTGCTCAACTTCAGGGCTTGGCCCTCTATTCTTATCTACACTCTGCACCTAAGTGATTCCAGTTAATCCCGTGGCACCATTTATATATGAGTAACTCCAGAATTTATATTTTTCACTTAGCTCCAAGTATGTGAACCCAACTACCCACTATACCACTTGTATGTCTAATAAGCATCTGACACAATAAAGCCAAAGTACAGGCCTAAATTCCCTCTTTCCACAAACCTGCTCCTTCCCCATTCTTAGGAAATGGCAATTCCATTCCCAGTTCTCAAGCCGAAAGCTAGAAATTATTCTCGATTCTTCCCTTTCCCCAGTTCCCAACACTTAATCCATCGGCAGTCATCACCAGTATCACTGCTATAACCCAAATCTGTTCACATTTCTCTATTTTCACTACCATCCTCGTTGAAGCTAATTTTTCTGACTGGTCTTCCCGCTTCCACGCATCCTTTACAACCCACTCATCATTCAACAACCATCATTTACTCCTTTGCTTTCAAGTTCTCTGATAGCCTCACATGGCACAAGGAAAACAACCCAAATTTTTTTCCAGATGTTCAAGGACGATGGGGCCCTTGCAGACCCCTCTGACCTTCTTGGCTCACTCAACTCCTTCCCTGGTACCCTTGTCAGTCACCAAAGACATTCAGCTCATTCCTCAATTAACACCTTTGCAGTAGCAGTTCCCTTTATCTGGAAAGCTCTGCAACAAAATCTTCACCTGGACTTTTCTTGCCTTCCAGGTCTCAGTTCAAGTTTCATCTCAGCAGAGTCCTCCTTGAAAACACAATCTAAGTTATCTGCCTACCAAGGCCACCCTATTATTTCCTTCATAACTCCTACCACTATTAATAAATACCTCAATTACTTATTTACCTGTTGATTTCAGCCCTTTCTTTCCTAAAACATAAATTTCACATGTTTATAACTACTTGTCTTACTTGCCATCTGTCTGGTGCACTGCCTAAAATGTTTTGTTACTTTTGTTTTTACCTGCTTGGTCAATTTCTGCTTCAACTTCTAGCTTTAAGAATACATCTTCCAAAGTTGTCATGGAAACACCATAAGAAATAACACCCAAACTTGAATGTGTGTCTAGAGCAGAAAATAAACCTAGAAGAGAATATGACAGAATGTCATGTACTTAAGCATACTATCATGAGTTATTCTAAAAATGTTCTTTAAAAATAGGTTATGTCTAAATTTACTCCACTGGCACAGTGGTTCTCAAACTTTTTGGCCTTGGGGCCCTTTTAACATTCTTTTTAATTGGTAAAAACTCCAAGGAATGTTTGTTTATAGAAATATATCTGTTAGATATTTATCATATTATGAGTTAAAGGAAATATTTTACAGACAGAGTGATAGGCAGGGTATATTAGGTTGGCATAGGTACTTCCACCTGGTTAATGATTTTGTTTTAATTCTTGAAAGAAACCAATTAACACAAAAACTTCTATCTGATTACAAGATAAATGCTATGGAAATTCTGCACATATATGCACATTAATAATATCCTTTTGGTTCTTAAGAGATCCCTAAACAGATGCAGGAAACTGAATTTGAATTCCTTCCTCACTATAAAGTGGAAAACTAGGGCCAAATTTAAAACAATTCAGTGGTTTACCATACAATCATGAATTTTATTTGAAACCAAGAAAATGGAAAAGCACTTGAGGACATACACAACTATATGTGTGTATGTATATATGTGTATATACAAATATATGTGTGTGTGAATATATGTACATGTATACATACAAGTACATGGAGCAATTTCTTTCCTGACAACAAAGCAAACACAGTTATTTACTTAAGTTAACATACTAGTTACAGTTTTCTGCATGCTCTTTGTGAAAAAAGAAACACATTAGCTAGTAGTATTTCTGACTTTCTAAAGCAAATAAGGCAGAAATGGATTATTAACTCTGGCCACCTGGGAGCATGTGAATATTACACAGAAGAGTAAACAAGGTAGAGCAAGAATATCTATTCCCAGTGCAAGATCCTGGTTTAACGACCCAGAAATTGAAAGTAATACCTGCAAATTTGTCCATGTCCTTTAAAGGCAAGCTATACACAAGCTGTTGGTCGTTCTGCTGCAACAAAGTAGCTCCAGGTATATGTTGTTTAACAAGAGAAGACAGAGATTCTGTGGCACAGTATCTGTCTATGTACATGCTAGAAAAAAACAAAAACCATAATTTTTTATGATTACTCAGTAAATAACCAAAAGTAATCTCTGAATGCTTTCAATTTAAGTGAGTGCCATAAAAAAAAGGGCCAAAGCACATTATGGCAAGCCCTAAATATAATATCAATAGATCAAGAATATAATATAGAATAGAGCTAATAAAGAATGAATAGATACCTCAGGCGGTAGCCAATCCCCCATTTACTTTTGAGAAACAGTGAGGAACCAACACATTTCAACATTCCTTGTGATATGACAGCTTTCCTATCTGCAAACAGAGATTTGTGTTTTTCAATTTTTAAGTTAGTAAAAGCATTAACAATTGGCATTCATATTTTATGGGTTATCACATGAGAACCAATGTATTGGCTGGCTAGATTATCACAACTTTATGAGGAAGACACTAGATTAGCATCACCTGTTCTTCAGATGAGTCTATTGAGGTGATGAGAAAACACACAATGTGTCCACATTTCACATATTAAATGACAAGGCCATGAAGTATACCCAGGCTGTCTAACACTACTGTCTACTTTCCTAAAACTCTTCCAAATATGTGTCTCTTCCTAAGACTTACTAATGCAAGCACTTTCACGATTTCCTTTGTAACCAGAGGGAAAAACAATAACAAAAAGGCAACAAAAATAAAATATTAGTTTTTTTTAAAAACAAAAATACTACTGAAAAAACGAATGGCACACCAAAGTTTTCTGTTTATATATTATAAACAGAAAGATGTTGCTCTAGAATTTCAAACTCCTGGATCTTGTCACAGTTATTAAAATCATGTGTTGGATTTTTTTGTTATACATGTGTTTGTGTTAAGAATTGTGCAGAAAACAGTTAACACAGCAGACCTGAGACTATTATTATTAGAGAGCCCTGCTTACAATGTTGGTTCTTAACTGGTGTCTGGAAACCTGGATTTTAGGAGTGTTCCCACCATTCCTAAAACAGTTAGAGGTGGCTCACTGTACTTAAACTTCACAAGCAATGTAGAGTATACTTAACACCTGCTTTTGTTCTGGGAGTCGTAATTTGGGTATATACTAGGCAGAAGGTGCCTACACAACCATGCCCAACAAAAACCTTAGGCCCTGAGTGTTAATGAGCTTCCCTAGTAGACATTTCACACACATTCTTAACAATGCATTGCTAGACAAATGAAGCATATCCTATGTGACTCCGCTAGGAGAGGATTCTTGGAAGTTTGTGTCTAGTTTCCTCCGGACTTTGTCCTGTGTGCCTTTTCAAGGTGCTGACTTTGCTTTGTACCTTTTAGTCTCACTGTAATGAATTCATATGCATGAGCATGACCATGCTGATGTTTGTGAGTTCTCCTAGCAAATGATTTAACCTTGAGTAGTCTGTCAGCCTCCCCAACACAAATATATGTAATTTAAAAAACTTTTTAAACCTTTTCTTATTAAAAGCATCAGCTTCTTCATTCCTCAAAATTTGGCATCTCTATGTCCAACCTCCATTTGGCCCCATGACCTCATCCTTCAAAGATAAAGTAAAAATCTCACCAGCAAGAATGTCAGCTTCATCCATGAAATGAGTACTAAACACTGTAACTCGATTAGATTTTCTGTATTTTAGAAGATTCCAAACAATATGACGAGAACAGGGGTCCATTCCAGCTGTTGGTTCATCTAGCAATAGTATCTGCATGAAACAGGGTAGAGGGGGCAGGGAATCCTCATGAGAACTAAAATATCTAAAATTTATATGTGGACTGAAAAGTTCCCCCATTTCTAATTGTTATTTCCAATTGGAAGTCTATTAAGATCTGAGTAGTTCACTCATGTGAGCACAGATTTTAAAAATTATCAGTTTGGCATATGAATGTTTTCCTTGGTTTAATTATAAAAGACTAATATCTATAATATATATACATGTACTGACAATCAGATAAATAAAAACAAAACATTAAGTATACTGCTTTTATCTGAACAGTTCTGTAAATATACCAACTGCTTACTAGAGGAATATATCCTGTATTATGGTTCAAGGGAAGCAATCCCTTGACTCAGAACCCAGAGTCGCCCCCAAACTGCAGCAGCAAGGGCAAGAGTAAAAGGATGGTAGGGACCAACAGCTCTCCTGGCTGCAGGCATGTGTGTACAGAGCAGCTTCCTAGCACCTTACAAAGCAGTCTATCAACTAGTCCTGTTTCCACAGGGCAGAGAACAGCACAAAAGAGACACATACAAAATTAAATCAGAAGGATGGTGAAAAACTAAACTATTCCTTTGATTTTGTTTTATTTCAAAAATTTTATTATGAACTATTATAGATATATGGGAAATTGTAGAGCATAAAAGAATAGTACTGTTATAGCCACCAGCGAAGTTTAACAAATGTTATTTCTGGCCATATTTTCCTCAGGTCTTTTTTTTTTTAAAGAAACAAAACACTGTAGATATAACTAAAGGCCATCCTTTCCATTCCTCTTTCTAAAGGTGGACATGATCATGAAGATGATATATATCTTTCTGACTACAATTTTAAAACCTTATGACTATAATTAAATTTATAATAATATACAGTAATTATGCATGTTTACATTTTATAATGTGTATGTATATATCTTCCTACAACCCACCGTTTTTTTATTTAACAATTTAAAATGATCTCATCAGTGACAATAATATTTGTTTACCTTTGGATTCCCAAGAACTGCAATTCCTAAAGACAGTTTTCTTTTTTGACCACCACTTAACTTTTTAGCTTGATTATCTTTGATAGCCTGCATGTCTAAATCCAGTAAAACCTTCTGCACCTGTAAAAGTAAAGCATGAACAATGTTATTTTTTAAACCACACCATTTACATAATTATCAATATTAGTTTTTGCATTCCAATTTTAACATCAACTTTTAAAATGCTGTTTTAGTATAGAATTTAATTTTGACAACATTCATACATAATTTCGAAGTAACAGATAAACAGATTCCTGCTGGAAAGATCTGTTTTACTTTTGTGTGAGCTCCTGGGTAGCAGGGAAGAGAATCAGAGCAAAGGCTGTATGGGTGATGTGAAAGAAAAGAAATACCTATATACTAGTAGCCTCCCGATAAAACAATGACAATTTCATGTGTGCAAGAACTTTTACTTAAAGTTGTAATTCTTTGTAATGATTTTGTTTACTGATTTAGAACAGGTTATAAAAAGATTTATTATGCAAGTTACTATAAAAGGCTATTGATTTATAGGAAATAAAAGCAAAGGTTTCAACATGAATAACGTACTTCTTGTATTATATTATTAGCTGGTATTCCTTTAATTGAAGCCAAAATGGATAAGTTTTCTTCTACTGTCAAAACATCAAAGTGTATATCTAACTGTGGACAAATGCCAATCATTTTTCTTGCTTCAAACATTTCGTCTATTTCTGAGACGCTGTGTCCATATATCGATGCAAACCCTGAAACCGAAATGTATCTTTAAATTCATATTAAATATATTAAGTATTAAAAACCATACATGCTTCAATATGTACTAATAATCTCCAATTACTTATATGTAGTAGACATATAAGGTAAGAATTAATTAATATAAATTTGGAAAATACAATGCACCCTCATTTTCATACTGTTGGTGATTTATTCCCACTTATATTCCAATCTCATTTTCCTTCATTTTCAGGACATAATCATAATAGAAAGAGCAAGGAGCCAGAAGTTCAACTGGTACATTATTCACACTTTCATTCCAGTAACAATGTTCCTTCATTCCCAGGCATTACACAATAGTAGAGAGAACAAAGAGATATAAATACTCCCCTAATAACTAGCAGAGTGATCTTGAAAAATCACTTAATCTGAATTCCAGCTTCTTCTTATATAAACTTAATACAAAAAGCATCCCAATCAAGAATTGTTACGCCAATGTGATAATGTATGTAGGATCAAAACAAAAATCAAACATTCTCATATAAATGTATACTACCATAAGAGAGGGACACAGTTATAGATAAGCAACAAACTTTTAAAAGTTAAACTACATTTAAAAAGATGCAGATTCGATACATGGAAATTTGGCCCTTTCTCAAAGTAAAATATTGCATTGCCATGCTCTTTGCTTATTGTGGGAATATGGAACTGCCATGTTCAATTCTTACCTATAGGGCAATCACATATAACAATGACATGTTTGAGATATTGTTCTTAAAATTCTAATTTAGGAAATCATGTTGACATGTATTGTGCTTTCCTTTTGAACTATAGTATTGTATAATTAGAAATCTGTGTCTATTTTCTCAACCTGAAATGTCTGTAAATCTCATTTAATATCCAACTAATTACTTATTTATCCTTCATTGAAAATGAAAAATCAACACACACACACACACACACAAAATATCTGATAAAAATAGGTACAAAATTAGAACCTTTTCACTTTACTGAACATGACTGGATCATTTTTTACTTCCTACCGAGAAACAAATGTGTATAACCCAGAAAAGATGAAACACCTTTAGAGATACAGATGTTGGTCCCAAATTATTGACAAAAATCAATCAGTACACATTTTAAGGGTAATTATGCTGTGTCCAACACCTTAGTTAATGATACTAATAAAACAAGTCAGAGATTTTTTTTTACGTCAGAAAACTCTCACCGTCAGAAGGTGGGCACAGTCCGCAAAGAATATTCATCAGTGTGCTCTTTCCTGTTCCACTGTGGCCAAGTAATGCAGTAATCTGACCCTCGTATATATCAAACGACAAATCTAGTTCAGGAAAAAAGAAGATTCAAATATAATTTTTATTTCTATTGAGCTATACAAGATAATTCATACTACTTGAGCAATCCTGACATAAGTCAATAACTTGAAAGCCAGATTTAAAGTTACTGTCATACTTAAGTGCATAATATTATTGCATAATAATTCTTTGTTATAGTCAATAGTGTGAATAATAAGTAATAAAAATAAACTTTTTTATTACACTGATTTAGAGGGTGTACAAAATATTAGGGGCAGGTCTGTATACCTAGTCTTGGGAATTTCCAAGGCAATTAAAACTGATCAACAGACAAAAGTTTGTTCCCAAGATATTTATAGGCATGTTAAATATATTGGCAAAAGAACTAGACACTGACCAATAGCATGGGAACAGCTAGGTTAATGCCTGAATGGTTTAATATAAATAAAGAAAAAAAGAACAAAAAAATGTCACTGGATGGATGAATCAATCATGAAGGAAGGCAGAAAACAGGGATCTGGAAACCCATTTTCAAATACAGGGTGGACAAAAGTAGTACTGTTGTGAGTACACAAAATAGTTTATTTTTGTGTTTTTGTTTATTCATTATTGTATTTGTATTACAACTGTAAACTACTTTTGCCATTGCTGCAAATACAGCCTTTCATTTAATGAAGGTGATCTGGGATTTATTTAGTATCTCTAGAGCTGCAGACCAGAAGCAAAAATGAGTCCTCTTTCAAAGGTTACATTATCCAGTGCATCAAATTATCTCTATAATTATCCGTACACAATATGCAGCACTTAGTCAAAATTAACCAAGGAGGAGAAAGCAAGGTAAGACCAAAAACCAATAGAAATAGACTTAGAGGTGATTTAAAAATCATATGGTACCATGTTTACAAGAGAATGCTGGCAAAGAACTAAAAACTATATAAAAGAACAAAGTAGAAAGATAAAAACTGTAAAAAATAAATGAAAAATATTTCAAAAGATAGTTTAGCAGCAGATTATACCCAACTACAGAGAAAATTAGTGAACAATAAGAAAAGTCAGGAGAAAATACCTAGACACAGCACAGAGAGACAGAAGTATAAAAAATTTCAGAAAAGAGAAAAGACAAATGGGATAAAAATAGAAAGTCATAGCATGTAATAAAAAACAGAGGGAAAGCCCCGACTGGTGTAGCTCAGTGGACTGAGCACTAGCTGTGAACCAAAGGGTTGCTAGTGTGATTCCGAGTCAGGATACATGCCTGGGTTGCAGGCCAGGTCCCCAGTAGGGCCACATGAGAGGTAACCACACACTGATGTTTCTCTCCCTCTTTTTCTCCCTCTCTTCCCCTCTCTAAAAATAAATAAAATCTTTTAAAAAAAACAGAGGGAGAAAATACTGAAAAAGAAATGGCTGAGAATTCTCTAAAACAGAATAAAGACATCAGCCTCAGATTGAAGAAGTACCATACAGCCAAAGCAGAACAAATGTAAAACAATAAAATAAACAACATATTATTATAGTAAAACTGCTGAAAACAAAAAATAAACAACGAACATCAATCAGTAACATTGGTTGTTAGATAAATGCAAATTAAATTAACATATTGTTGTACTCTACCACAATAGCTAGAGTTAGAAGAGCTGACAATACCAAAGGTTGGTGAAGACATACAGCAATTGGAACTGTCATACCCTCTGGTCAAAAGGGTACCAACTTTCGGAAAATGTTCAAAGTACTTATCAAAGTTAAACATATGCTCATGACCCAGAAATTCTACTCAAGTATAGTCATTCACTACTTAATAATGGCCATACATTCTGAAATGCACTGTTAGGCAATTTCATCATTTTGTGAACACTATGGAGTGTAGCAACTGAAAGAGCCATACTCTCATACAACCTGCAGTGCAATAGGTTAGTTTCCACCAGTATCACCACAAAAACATGAGTAATGCTACAATGTTACAATGGCTACTGTGTCACTAGGTGATAGGAATTTTTCAGCTCCATTTGTAATTTTATGGGATTACCTTCAATATGTGGTCCATCATTGACCAAAACATCATTGCGTAGTGCATGACTGTATTAAGAAAAAAATAAACCTTTGTATATTCACACAAAAGAAAATTAGACAGCAATGACAAAGAACAAAGTGCTATGCCATAAAGCACAATGGATAAGTCTCTCAGACATAATACTGGTTATTCCACTAATAGGTAATTCTGGTACAGACTAAAGCAATTCACACTGATAGACCTTGTAATGAATAGTGGCTGCATCTGGGGCAGGATGGCATTGACTGGAAAGGGGCATAAGCAAACCTTTAGTGTGCTAAAGATGTTCTCTGTCTGGGTAGTGGTTATATGACTGCACACATTTGTAAAACACTCACTAAACTGTACATTTAAGATTTTTGTATTTTATTAAGTTATAATATAAGAAAAAGAAAGTTAAAAAGTCAAAAATATTTTTAAAAGTTCAAAATATTCAACCAAAGGAAAAGCAGGAAAAGTAAAGAAAAACATAGGAAAAAGGAGACAGACAATAACAAAGTAACAAGTGATTAAAACTCAAGTATAACAATAATCTCATTAAATGAAAATGTACTAAACATTCTAATTAGAAGAAAAAGACTTTCAGATCAGATTTTGAAATTACAATGACAACTATACAGTACTTAACAGACACCTTCAACAATAGATTGAAAGAAAAATGGTGAAAAAACATGTTATCATGAAATCACTGGACTAAAGGAAGCCCTAACTCTGAATATATGAATATACAAGTGTATGTTATCTAATTACACGGTCTGAAAAATATGTAAAAGAAAACAGTGACAGCCCTGACTGGTATGGCTCAGTGGGTCGGGCATCATCCCACAAACCAAAAGGTTGCCGGTTCAATTCCCGGTCAGGGAACAAGCCCGGGTTGTGGGCCAGGCCCCCATTCCCGGTTGGGGAGCATGTAAGAGGCAACCCATTGATGTTACTCTCACACATCAATGTTTCCCTCTTCCCTTCCCTTCTCTGTAAAAATAAATTCTTTAAAAAAAAGACATTTTTTAAAAAAAGCAATAGCATAAGTGCAAAAAAATAGACAAATTCACAATCATAATTGAAGATTGTTATTTTTTATTTATCTCTCTCAATAAATGATAGAAGTGCTTCCACAAAAACTAAATTGGTAAACATACAGAAGATTTCAAAACACAACTAATCAACTTGACTGGTTATGAAACACAACATACAACTGCAGGACATGCATTTTGTGCAAGTGTTCACAGAATGTGTACAAAACCTGACCATATGTTGGGCCACCTAATCCCAATAAATTTCAAAAGGCTAAAAATAAATAATAATGCTATATTGTCTGACTATGGTGGAATTCTGTGAGATAAATATAAATCACCATATACTTAAAAATCAAAACATAAATAACCCATTCAAAAAAACTACAGTGAAAATTAGAACTATTTAAAACTGAATAATGAAAACAACCTGTCAAAACTTGTACAATGCAGCTAATACCATGCTTAAATGAAAATTTACATATTTAAAATTCATCATTATAAAATGATCTATGTATCTATCTTAAGAATGTAGGGGGAAACAGAATTAAATGTAAAGTCAAAAACAATAAAACAAGAAAGAAAAAAATTAGAAAACAGAAAACAAATTTATAATACACAGGATCAACAAAGGCAAAAGTTCGTTCTTTTAAAAGATTTTTTTTTACTGAAAAACCACAAAAGAAAGAAAGAAAGAAAGAAAGAAAGGCAGGAAGGAAGAAAACAAACCCTACAGACCTTAGTAACATGAAAAGACTTTAAACAAATTTCTGGCAATAAATTTGAAAATAATAAAATGAAAGGTATCTAGAAAAATCAGTGTATGTTGGGCCAATGGTTCTCAAGTAGGGGTTGGGGGATTAACATTCCCCCTTCACCTCCCACCTAATCCCCAGAAGCATCTGGGAAGGCCTGAAAACGTTTCTGGTGGTCACACCTGAGGAAGAGGGAGGCTACTGGGGGTATACAGTAGGTAGAGACCAGGGATGCTGCTTGTACTTGTACATTTTATGTATCAGTTTGGCTAGAGCTATGACACCCAGCTGTTTGGTCAAACACTAAAGTAAATGTTGCTGCGAAGGTATTTTATAGATGTGATTAACATTTACAGTCAGCTGACTTTCAGTAAAGAAGACTAGCCCTGGCTGGTGTGGCTCAGTGGATTGAGCACGGGCTGCGAACCAAAGGGTCGCTGGTTTGATTCCCAGTCAGGGCACATGCCTGGGTTGCGGGCCAAGTCCCCAGTGGGGACCACATGATAGGCAACCCCACATTGTTTCTTTCCTTCTCTTTCTTCCTCTCTTCTCCACTCTCTAAAAATAAATAAAATCTTAAAAAAATTAAAAGACTACCCACAGTAACACTGGTGAACTCCATCCAATCAGTCAAAGGCCCAAAGAGCAAAAACAGGTTTCCTGGAGGAGAAATCTAACTCAATATTGTAGCATAGATTTCCTCTGAAATCCATCTGAGTTTCCCACCCTCCTGCCTGCCTGCCTCCCCTATGAATTTTGGACTCAAGACTGCAACTTCAACTACTGCCTGAGTTTCCAAGCAGCCAGCTTGCCCTACAGATTTCAAATTTGCCAGAAACCACAATCATATGAACCAATTCCTTAAAAATAATTTCCCTTCTTCCCTCCTGCTCTCTCCCAACCAGGTCACTCACTCTCTGTATGTGTGTATACAACTATACATATTGTTGGTTCTAAAGAACCCAGAATGACAAATTGCTATACATTCTACAATTCACAGGACAGCCCCTCACAAAAAAGAATTATTAGATCCAAAATAGCAGGACTGGTGAGGTTGAGAAACTCTTTGCAGGTCAAAAGAAAAAAAAAGCAACCAACCCATAAACACATGAATGATAAAAAATGGAAAATGGACATAGATTTGTTCAAATAGTTGAATATTTTTCATCTTGATATTACTTTTATCTTTTACTACTTTGATATTAGTTTTATTTTGAATATTAATCACATAAATAAATATAAGTATCCCTAAAGGAAAAAGAGAAAATTGTGATGAAGTTGTTCAAATTTCCCACAAATTATGCAATTGTTTTTCCATTTGTACTTTAATACTGTGGACTGAATAGTAAGAAAGCTACTTACTTCTCAAAGCCTCTACATTTTCACCTTTCTTTCTGTATGTCTTCTGAATACCACTGATTCTGAAAAACACCATTTTCTACTTTTAAGTATTTAAAGCAATTTATAAATGTGTGTTTCCATCTACATTTTTATTAAATCTGTCATATTTCATAGGAATACTAATAAAGTCCCTTCCTACTAAAATAATTAACCAGAGCTGATAATAATTATGAAAGTAGTTTAAAGAAACTACAAGAGAAACATACAGTATTCCTTTCCATTTTAAATGCCAGTCATTTTTCATAAGCCAACTTCTAAAAACAAAGTGAAGCATTTGACTCAAGCAATTTAGAGATCTGTTTTCATCTTTGATACTTTTCTGCTTGCATCAAATACTCGTTACATCAGTTAAGGGAAGTTAAAAACCAAATGCTATTTATTCATATCAGTGTACATTTCAAACTCTCTACAAATGTGAAGTGATTCGCTCATTCCCCTTTAAATGTTTTACCTAAGTTTTATTAACCAGTTTGAATTTTACCCTTGAGAGGGCAGACCACTGGCCCACTAATCATACCTTAAGTATTTCATTCACTCTCCCTAGCTTTATATATTATTCTTAAACTTAAAAAATAAATTATACTTCACTTTTCCTGTAATTTGTATTTCTTTTTGCTTTCTAGTTATTATTATTTAAGTTGGTTTTGATTGACCTAGTAAAAATAGTGATTAATTTCTTTGGTCTTTAGAAATTAAACTGATATTCTAATTATGTCACAATACCTAAAAGTCTATAAAATTAACAGAGAACAATTTAATATTATATAACTTAGACAACATATCCTGAATTGAATTATAAAGTTAATAATTATTATGTTTTGATTGACAAAACAGAGAAAGTTTAAAATAACTCAGTAAAAACCTAGTTTTATTACTTTCAAATTTTTTCTATGAAACATAACATTTCAAATCTAGCAGCAACCTTTTTCTAAATTGTTGCAAAGAAAATAAGAACTTAACATATAAGTAGCCCTTATTAACACTGTTTTAAAAACATACATTACTTACATACGTTATTTAAAAGATAGGATTTAAATGGGGCATTGTCCCATCAGCAGTTCTTATGCCTAAATTGTCAAAGATTGAATCATACCTTATGGCTTCTTTTCCTGTAAATTCTGAAGAAACAGGCTCAACAATTTCACTAAAACTAATATTCCCATTAACATTGCCCTCAGATAACTCCTTATAATTTCTTTTGTTCTTTGACCAATATGATGGTTTCAGAAAATATAAAGATGATCTCCGTAAGCCAAATTCCCCTGAAAAATAAAAAAACTGAGTTATCATAAATTATTTCTGAAAAATTAGTTTTAAAATCATAAAGGTGGTATGTGAACTATATGACAACCTAAATGCAAAGTTCAAATATAAAGTAGTAAATCCATATTGTGTGAAAAATAAGTTCTAATGACAAATAACTCAGTCCATAAATAGTTTCAGAGTTGCTAAGAGTGCATGGGAATGTACAGGAAAGTAAAACACATTTCCTGCCCAAAGGACCTTAAATCTTTATGAGTACACACACACACACACACACACACACACACACACACACACACACATTTACCAAGTGGCTAAAACATAATGCAGAACATGAGGCATGTCATCCAAAATGCTAGTTAGAGTCCAGAAGAAGAAAAGTTTGTATCTGTATAGGAGATATATCCTGAAAGCCTAAATATATCATCTTAATCTTTAAAATTAGGAGGTATTTAGAAAAATAAATATAGTTCATAGAGAATACTTTTTAGAATTAGGAGACTAATACAGCAACAGGACAGATATAGACTTATGTATATGGCAGACAGTGACAGTTGCCCACATAGGATGTACCCATTTTCCCCCCTTTCTTCCCCAAAACTGACACTCTCTATTTTTTTAAAAGAATTTATTTATTTATTTTAGCCAGAGGGGAAGGTAGGGGAAAATAGAGGGTGAGAAACACTGATGTGTGATTGCCACTTGTGCACCCCCTCCTGAGGATCTGGCCCACAACCCAGGTATGTGCTCTGACTAGGGATCAAACTGCTAACCCTTTGGTTTGCAGGCTGGCACACAATCCACTGAGCCACACCAGCCAGGGCTAGTGCTTACTCTTTAAATATCTACTAATCTTCTAGATGGCCACCTGTTTCAAAGAAATCTGATCTCAATTACACAGAAGATTCTAATCGATTTAATCAGTTCTTGGCATGCTCTAGTAGCTGTTATTGCTCCAGATATAAACATGTGACTAATAAGACAGAAGGAAAGAGCTTAGTTGGAGGGAAAGGTATGCCCTCCCTTTTCCACTGGCCATGAACACAGAAGTGTAACACCCTGCGGCCATGAGGAGGGCAAATCTGCCAGACTCTGAGACAAAGGTGCCAAAAGCATGGAGAAAGTGGATCCCCAATGACATAATTGAGAAGGTCAAACAGCTTGAAGTCCATCTTATCTCTTGACTTCAAGTCAAACAATTGATTTCCTTCTTGTTTAAGCCAATTAGATTTTATTATGAGCAGCTAAAAAGAACCTGATACACTGGAAATGTGTTTAAATAGGTTAGTAAGACTGTACAAATGAATATTAAATACAGTAAGGAGAAAATGATAAGGAGAGATTAAATATATAAAAGTATTATGGAGGATATTAATATATAATGAGTTTCTATCTAATTAGTGCACCTATTTAATAAGGATATGCCCACTAAGTTTTTTCAGAGGTGATTAATTTGATTAAAGGGAATGGTGAAGTTCTTAGATTTAAGTTAGGTAATTAAATAAGCAGTATCACAACAGTCTAGACTAGTGCTGCCCAATACAACTTTCTGTAATGATGTAAATGTCCTGTCTATAATGAATATGGCAACAATTGTATGTGGCTACTAGCACTTATAATGTGGCTTGAACTATGAGGAAATGAATTGTTAATTTATTTAATTCTAATTAATTTAAAATTTAAAAGCCACAACCCTGGTCAGTGTGGCTCAGTCAGCTGGAGCATCACCCTGTAAACCCAAAGGTCTCAGGTTCAATTCCCAGTCAGGGCAGATGCCTAGGTTGTGGGTTTAGTCCCCGGTTGGCATGCATACAAGAGCAATTGATTGCTGTTTTTCTCCCTCTCTCTCTTCCCCTCTCTCTAAAATCAATAAGCATGTCCTCAGGTAAGGATTTAAAAAAAGAAGAAAAAATTAGAAGTCATATGTGTCTAGCAGATACCATATAAAACAATGCAGGTCTAGAACATAGACAAAAGTAATGAGGAACTCGAGAAAAAAGTTAATGGGGTACTGGATATTTAATAGGAGATCAGTGATTTTCAACCATGTTTATCTCATGGCACACATCAAACTAATTACTAAAATTCTGTAGCACATCAAAAAAAATATTTTTTCTGACCTGACAAAAAAATAGGTATCATTTTGATTCATTCACACCATATGGCTATTGTTATGTTGTCTGTAGTCATTTTTTATTTGACAGTCTAAGGGAATAGAGGTAAGTGCTCCTGATTAAACAGTCAAATATTGTGCGTTTTAAATATTCTTGTGGCACAATGATTAAAGATCACTGCTATAGATGTAGGAAAGGAGATGAGGGGAATGGTAGGAGATGCAAGACTGCTTCATAGTTCTGGACCTTAGAGAGTAAAATAATGAAACACTTTAGCCAAAGAAGATTGACATAAGGAAGTTAAGAAGTTCAGTTAGGGACTTACGACTTTCAAAACAAACTGCTCCCTTTTTATACAATCTGCCTATGTTCACTAGTAGTTAACACATAAAGTATAAAATATATATATTTAAAATTAAATTAAAAGCTTTAACATGAATGTAAGTTGGGCACTCTGGCTAGAAAAAATTAAAATTAAGTTGACCCTATGTGGACAAAAAAATCCTAAAAATCTTTAAAGGTAAAACCAATAATCTGCTTACCTGGGATGACTTGATCAAGATAAACAGCCAAGAGCACATAGAACATACTATTAAGTGCTAGCACAATAATAGTAATAATTAGAGGATATGGGCCTTCGGTCAAATTAGAAAATAAAGCACCTTCATTAATATCTTCCAAATGCATGACCTGAAAAACAGAAACACCAACTTTATTACATAAAAATGATTTAAAATACTGGTAAGCAGAAGTTAACACTGCTTAGGGTTACTCCTTATAGCCAGAGTTGACAGTAGTCAAACTGGGCCTTTTAACAGATTGAAGTCTTCCAAATTAGAAATATAAATTTATAAGGAAAACAGTAAGAACTTTACCAAACTATGAGTTTATCACAGAAATCTGTTTCAATTATGTACTTAATGTTGTGCTTCTAAAACCAGTGTATAGTATACATCCCTTCTCTGAGGCATTTAATTATTAATACTATTATTAAACGAAATAAATATTAAGTATGATGTTAATCCTAACTGATGCAAACAAAAAGGGTTACGGTCCACAAAGAAGGCAAACAAATCAAGCATTAGAGGATAAAATTATAGTCAGCATCTTTTCAATACTGAAAAAAACAGAAGGTACTATAATTAATTAACATAATTATTAACACAAATATTAAGTTATTCATAGTAAATATATGTGATAGAGCAGAAAAAAATGTACTAGAGTTTGGGGCTTCATTTAGGTCCTAGACCTGTCTTTAAGTGAATAAACTTTAACTTTCATTCTGAATTTCAGACTCCTCATTTGTGAAATGAAGGAAATGAACAGTTCCTTCCACTCACAACAAAGACCTATGAATCTATAATTCTACCTTCCAAAGTGAAGGGGACTCAGTGGATTTCCAAAATGTGTAACATCAACTCTTAGGTCTTAAGTAATCAAAATTCATTTAACTCAACATTGTTATAAATAATCTATCTTAATTCTCATAAATAAGAATATTCTACCTAACCAATATGAATAATCTCATACTAAGTAATTACACTGACCAAATTAATTTTGTTACACAAAACATTTCCTTATGAGAATTTCTCCCTAAGAACCTGACAGTTCCTTTAAAGACTAATAAAAATCAAATTTAGAAATCTAAATATTATTTAAGTGAATGACAATCCCAAGAATCCTGGGCCAATAAAATCCACCAGGTCTACTTATTTTACTCTTTCAGTCATAAAAAAATTTGTTCTGCTCCATACAGAATTTTCTCCAGGCACACATCTGAGATTATTTTACATTGGGCAGCAATGTAACCAGGCCATAACGCAATTTAAACTAATGACTTCCAACAAATTGAGTAATTGCAATGGACTACAATCCTGAGATATACTGAAGTAGAAAGTAAAGAACTTATAAACAGAGAATATAAATTAAAAATGGAGAGAACATAGATTAGAAATGAGAATAAATGAAACCAATATAAAATATACTCCAGTATTCAAATATCATTCATTTCTTGTATTGAAAAAATTTTTTTTTTTTTTGCAAATCAGAGGTAGCATTCATGGTATTGTAACATGCTGTATGACATACAAAATATGCAGTGAAAGCAACATAAATGTATCACCTACCTGTGCAATACCAATCAAAAAAGTACACTGACAGAAGGGGCTCAGAAGCCACACTAACGATTTGGGAAAACTTTCCACAAAGACTATCAAAAGGCCAACAAATCCAAAAGCCACAGTGACTAAAAATTCAACTATTCCCACATGTTTTGACTTTTTAAAAATAGGTGTCAGCATTAAAGCAAAAAATACCTATAAAATATAAATGTTAAGGTTAATGCTTCGTTCACATACACTGGTATTAAAACAAATCAATTAATTTCTAAATGCTCTAGTATTTTATTTTCATAAAACTAGTGATACACATTTAAGAATTTAAACTGACAAATTATCTATATAACAGGCAAACATGATCACCTGTACTTTAGAAACCATAAACAGCTATGCATTTCTGCAGTTAGATGCGTACATATATAAACAAAACAATAAAGCTTTTTAAAGCTTTACAAAAGCTTTTAAATACAAGTACCATCTTTAAAACTTTATGTATCAATATGAAACAAAACCAGCTAAAAACTGGGCAATTATATAGAGAAGTATACAAGTAATACATAAGTCATTATGTTAAAGAAAACAGGTGAGAGTCAAATATTTAACAACTGGTACAGCATGGGTACATAAACCAATCAGAATGGAAACCAGAACCACTTAAAGCCTGGTCATTAACAGCCAGCATTCAGCCAATATATCAAATGAATACCTACGAGCTGTTATTTGCAAAGACATATCTTTATACGACATCATCCTGTAATATAAAATTAACTCGAAACAGTGAGAATTTCAGGAAAACAAAGGCATAACAAGTCCACTACTGCACACTCTTAATTACATGTTCCACGAAGATAGTAAAAGACAGACTCAAAGGATTTGTATGAGAAAACAGATTAGATGAAAATAGGTTATATTTAAACCTGAGATTATTTTGTACCTTTCCTAAAAATATGGAGGTACAATGATGCTATATGTAAGTCATTTATCAGTGGCCTTGTAACAATCTCTTTCTTGGGAAATTGACTATAAATATAAGAATAAGATTTTGCTGTATTAATCAAATATTTTAGCAGTTCTTTATTCCCACTCCAAGTTAAAACACTTACAGATGATTGACCATACAGGAAAAAAAGTAGAAATATCACAATGCAGCTACTCTGAGGGAATAACGAAGATGCTGTTGCAATGACTGCCATAAGAATGGACATCAGAAAAATCAAACTTGTATAGAGAAGAACCCAGGAGAGCCTAAAATGAGAGTTCAAATACATTTACAGTTAAAAGCATAGGTTCTGACAGTTAAAAACAAATCACATTAAATAAAGTTTCATCTATATTTCAGCCACTTTATCTTTAAAATTAAGTCAATCTATTCATTTCTATGTGTGTTCTTTTATTGAAATTCGATGCTCTTCTAAGTAATTATAATACAGTAGTGGTTAAGTTATATTCTGAAACATATATGAAACGGTGATTATCTTTGCAAGAGTCAAAACAAATTAATAACAATTCATGATTAATTTAAATCTAATATTTCAAAAGTTCAATAACAAAATATGTCTGATTTTCTTAAAATACAAGAGTCACAATTTTCTTTATGGCATGTGCTACAATAAAACCTTTGATAACTTATAGAAGTTTAAACAATAAGCACTACCTCACTAATCAATCAACAACATAATTACTACACATTTACACATCAGATCAAGAAGATCAACAATTGCCCTGACTGGCGTAGCTCAGTGGATTGAGCGCGGGCTGCAAACCAGGCATCAAAGGTTCGATTCCCAGTCAGGGCACATGCCTGGGTTGCAGGCCATGGCCCCCAGCGACCGCACACTGATGTTTCTCTCTCTCTCTTTCTCTCTCCCTTTCTAAAAAAAGATCAACAATGGATTCACTATATTTGCTCAAAAATTCTCCTTCAATTAGAGCTCAATGAAATTTCTACAGTATTCAATTTTATTTTATCTTTATTGTTCAAGTTAGTAGATCATGATTTAATGTGGATATCATAAAAATCAATCACTGAAATAGGGATAAAGGATACCGAAATTACCAAAATCGAATGCATTATTCTACAGAGGTAAAACTGAGGCACTGAAAGATTGATTTGCCTAAATTCTTCCAGCTACTGTTCCCTCACAAAGTACTTTAATAATCCACTGCATCTTAAAAACCAATCACTACTAAAATAACAGGAGAAGAAAAGGAACAAAGAAAATATGTTATATACAACAATCCCATTAGGTAAAGTGTTATAATTAATTGTAGCATTGGGCTAAATGGAATAAAATTTTGTAAAATGGACTATAATGCCAACTCACATGCTTATTAACTTTTCTCCCAAAGTACATTAATTTTTCTTCCTAAATGAGGACAAAATAAATCTTCTTACAACATATTGGGGAAGTAGGGAAAATACACCTAGAATTATTAACAAAAATGCATGTCTCTAAAAAATTATCATTGTATAAAAAATGGCTTACTTGTAAAAACATTTTCTTCATTTGTTTCTTTACAAATTATTTGTATATTTTCATCTTAATTCACACAAATAACTTTTTTTTCAGGGAAAAAAGCCCATAAACTACATACACGAACTTCAATCATTTCAACTAAATTTTTAATAACATGTATATACTATGATATTGGGGGAAGACTACACCAGGCAATTAATTTCTAACTCTCCAAGACCTCATATATTCTATGCACTGTAAAACACCCTGAAATGCATGGTGGACACTTCATCTATGCAAACAAAATGTGAAATAAAATTAAACATGTCGTGTTACCATACTTTCCAAATCTCAATTTTCTTATGTTAAAACAAGCCAATCAATCACTGAAGCTTGTTAAGTAGTCTCAAATTTTAAGACAACGACAATCATTGTAGGAAACAGGATCAGAATCCCTCTTATCAAGCCAGGTGAATAACAAAATTAAAATTCTGAATATTTGTATATTTAACATAATTATTAATCACACTGAATAAGCCTTTATTAACATACCAAAAGGCCGTGTCATGAAGTCCCATTATCTTTAAAAACTCTTTTAACTTCTTCTCTTTTTCTGCCACAATATGAATTGCCAAAAAGTATCCAAAGGGTGAAAATGCTATTATTAAGTATATTAAAATTACTCCTCGGGGAAAGGTATCTATTTCTACAATAGCAGTTTCTCCCATAATAACAGCTTTAGTTGACTCCAGCTCCTTCCACAGAGAAACATTGGTCTTCAACTATAATTGGAAAATGGTAAATACATTCAATTAATTTTGTTCTGATAATAGTCCTTAACAAAGTGTGATAAATGCACACAAAAATATAGTCAATAACCTAGTACAAATATAATCCTCAAGTGGCTACACACCTAAAATAAAGTGATTGACCCCAATATCATAATAGAGTAGAATATTGATTTTATTTATTCTGGAAACAGACCATCAAGTTTAAAGTCTAAAGTTGGGAAGTATACAAATTTTGATAAAATAATTTGTCAAAGAAAATATAATTTCACAATTATTATTTTAAGCAGGCAATTATTTAGGTATATTAACAAAAATATGCATTTATAAAATTGAGGAATTAAAGAATGATTATTAGTACCCTGAAAGAATGACTGTCGTTAAAAATGTTCATTTAAATAGTATTTTTTAAAAAGTATATAGTATGCCCTTCTCTTGTTTTAAGATGTATATATGTTCCTCATGTATAAATAGAACAACATAAAACTATGCCCTGTGATACTTCTACCTAACATTCAACTGAATGTCTAAAATGAGACCTGCTTGGCCTGTTTGTCCAGGGTGGTCTGGTTTGTAGATGGTTCAAGTCTTTTGCCCAAACACAAATAAGTACTAAAACACCAGCAAAGTGGTATATCATATATTACACTGTCTTTACCTTAAACTTTTGTATTATTGAATTTATGTAATATTACATATGTATAATACATATACCATGTGTGAGAGTTTATAAGACAATTCTATATATATCATCTCATTTGGTTCTTATAACAACCCTGTTAAACAAAGCATTATTATAGTCATTTTATTATATAGCAATCTGACAACTAAGAGAGATAGGTCTCATGTTCATCTTTACAAAATGTGAAACACTGGATCAGGTCTAAGCATGTCTTTAAAATATAACTGTCACATGTATATGCAATCCTTCCTGTTAGCAGTGTAGTATTAAAAAAAAAAAGACTTGGGAGCCAAAAAGCCATAGTTTGAACTAGTTTTGCCACTAATTAAGCTTTGGAAAAATTACTTAATTTCCCTGTGCTTCATTTTCATATATAAAATGGACATAATAATAGCACCAATCTCATGGGATTGGTAAAGATTAAACTGGTTAATATTAGCATATAACTCAGAATAATGTTTGGCAAATAAATGACACATGTTTCTTAAATTAATAAAACCTACTACTATAATTAAGACAAAGATATGCACTTTCTTTAAGTTATTTTTATTCAAGGGGCAACATCTGCAAATATAGATCTTTCATAAATATTGCCTATGGTTGACCCAGATAAAATAATACAGATATGTAGAATGCTGAATCATATGCTTAGAAACCATCCAATAAATATGGGTTTCAAAAATATTAAAACAGAAACTATCACTTCTTCCTTATCTTTTTTTCTTAAAGGAGTTGTAATAAGTTATATATTTTATACATTTGGCAGCAGTCAAACCAAATCCTATTGTAAAGACATAGGGCTGAATTGTTAAAATACGGTTTGGCTTTATTTTTCTTCCTTTATCGTATTTACCTGTATAATGGCAGCATCTATGGATGCTTGTAAAATTGTGAATCCGGAGGACCAGTACTGAACAGCCTCACATGATTTTGAACAGCCAGCTATGGGAGGCAAATGTGAGACATAAGATTTCACAACACTTGCAAATGCCGTTTTTTAAAGATAACATTTGGAGGCTTCCCAAAGTAATATGATCACTCAATCTATACAGGACCAAAGAAAATAAGCAATTATCTTTCAAAGACAAATAATATCACACTCCTGATCAATTATTTGAAATTTCTGAAATACGTTAACATGTGTTAGGATAATGAATGGTAAATGAAAACAAATGGAAAGAAATTAATTGTAAACATGGTTATCTAAAATAAGTCACTTTTCTGTTTTAACATCAGTTACTCTGCAATGACAGCTTCAAAGCATTTCCAGATGCAAAGACAAGTCTGGGTTAAAACAATAGAAAAAAAATTCTCTAAGGGAAAAATTCAGTTCTTAGCATAGTGACTTCAACATTGCTCAACAAATGTTTATTGTTAATAACATCTCTTCATAAGTTTAAGCACTGAAGGCTATTTTCCATGTTTCAAACATAAAACTAATAAAGTTTGCTGATGGAAAACTGAAATTTTAGATATGTCATATACCATTTCTGAAAACTATATAGAGGAAAAAAATAGAGATTTGTAAAGTCATATATTTCAAGATACATTTTCATTTTGTTACTGTAATTATATAGATATATTAAAAGACATAAACTGTTCTATATGCAGATGTAGATAGGTAGTTATTTGAGTATATTCATATTTTTATGCTACACTTGACAGTTTTCTTATCTGAAAAAGTATATTTGAAAAATGCCAATGCTGGACCCCATTAAAATTTTGCTTATGAACTAAGAGCAGCAAAAACACGCATTTAACTGATTTTCTATTATTTTTTTAGAGCTATTTACCTCTTGAATCCATATAAATTGAAGATACTGGTATCATATCAGGAAAAAAACGGAGTTCGTAGGACATGAAGTCTTTGAAAATCACACCTACAAAGTTGTTGCTCTTAACAAGGCTGGATGCTAGCAATTCTTTTTCACTTGTATATTCTTCAGTAATTATGACTATAAAATATTATAACAATATAGTTAACTCGCAAATGAAAATAGTTTATCTAATACAATAGACCAAATTTACCATTATATTTGATATACGTAATATTTTATAAACATTTGTTTTATGCTCTAGCTTCTCAGAGAATGAAGAGCCCTTTTAAAAAATCCTAAAAAAAAAAATAGTAAATTTTACACACTATTTAACTGTCATTTAATTATATAAATTATGTCTGTGTAATATAAGTTATTGGTATAAGAGTACATACTTCCTATGTAATGGGAGCAGTTCACTTACCTATCTCCAAGTAAATCTATACAAATAACTCCTTGATAAGTGAATGGGTATTTTATTTTCAATTATTTTTAATTGTATTTTTTCCATTACCATCTTTCCCCCCATACCCTCTCCCACCTCCACTTACCTGCCTCCCCTTCCCCCACCTCACAATCACCATACTGTTGTCCTCGTCCACGAGTTCTTTCTTTTTTTTTCTTTTTTTGCTGGATCCCTCCACCCCCTAACCCCCCGCCTAAAGCTGTCCACCTGCTCTCTATGGTTCTGTCCCTATGTTGCTTGTTAGTTCAGTTTGTTCATTAGATTCCACATAATGAGTAAAATCATATGGTACTTGTGTTTCTCTGGCTTATCAAATATTTCTTCTTATGAAGAAAATTCCATAATCCTTCTCAGATACTAAATATGTATTTTAGTAACTATGATACAACCCTTCTTTGAGTAAAAATTGCCACTTAAATCCAATATTGCTTGTTCTTTTCTAGGGAGATACATGAAGAATACACCATAGTCATCATTCAGCTCCTTTCACGTCACATAACCTTAATGTTCAAATATTTTCTTGAGATTTTATTTATAAGAAACTAGTATTCTGTACAGAGCTTCAGAACAGGTGGTAAAATGGAGAGAACACAGGATCAGAATGTAACTTTGTTACTTATTAGCTGTGTGAGCACAGGTAAACAATTCTCTAACCTTGAGTATCCTCATCCACAATACCTACTTGATCACACTGGGATGTTCATATGAAGTGTAGCCACAAATATGAAAAAATTTATCAATTATAAAGCATTACTTAAATAATTATCATGATTTTCTAGACTTGTAAGGTGGACATGCAATTCAGGACTGATTTGGATGCAAAGGGTGTTAAGTTCAACATCCACTCAGTCACCTTACCGTGTATGTACATGTAACACGCTTGTGGATAGTTCTGTTATTAAAAGGACAGAACTTCTACAAAACCCATATATGTTTCTACTATTTTAGCACTTACGTTAATATACGTTGACTTGAATTTCTTTGGTATATATGTTTTCTCCTACTTAAGACTTACCAATGAATTTTGTTCTCAACATTTCTGATCAGCGTTTGAGCTGGTATGCTAAATTCTTATAGATATCCATGCTACTTGTGCTTAATATAATAAACTGACAAACATGTTATATACCAATAAGATAGGTGTTTGACAAAAAATATTAAATAGCAATAAGCAAAAAAGAAATCAATGGGGGAAAAGTTGTTTGACTCCTGATTGTATAAACATCTTCTATTCAATGACACACTATCCAATAATGCGATAACATATACTAGAAGTTAATTATAACCATCCTATACAAGGCATGTTAATCTGTTACTTTGTACAATTTAGCATTTCATTAAATCAATCACCACAGTATGCATATTTCTGTGACTTTCTCCAGTTCCTACCTTGGGTTCTTTCTCAGCCACTTTAGACCCATTAGTAACTCATTGATTACACTGTTTTCTAGTCCATTTCTTTGTGAGAAGTACAAACTGAGGAAAATAGACTTAGGTACTTAGCAACAGTCACAGTCTTCAAAACTAAGTACTTCTTTGGTTTTCACCATATACCTCCATAAATAAGCATGGCAATATGGTAAGGTCACTGCTTTATAATCTTAATCATATATTTCCAGCTTCTTAATTATTATATGAGACAGACTCAAAACGAAATATTCCTTCAAATCTCTTATCCCAGGGATGTCAAATTCATTTTCACCGGGGGCCACATCAGCCTTGCAGTTGCCTTCAAAGGACTGAACGTAATTTTAGGACTGTATAAATGTAACTATTCCTTAACTAGGGGCAAGGAGTTCAGCACTGCTACCTGGTGGAAACAAGGTGCCGGGCCTGATAAAACAAGGTGGAGGGCCGGATTCAGCCCAAGGGCCTTGTGTTTGCCACCTGTGTTTTATCCTGTATAAATATACTTATTTTATAAACGGCCTAAGGATTAAATATAAACTACTAAAACATAAAATTAGCCCTGGACAGTGTAGCTCAGTTGGTTGGAGCATCATCCTGTAGACCAAAAGGTCACAGGTTCCATCCCCAGTTACAGCACATACCTAGGTTGTGGGTTCAGACCCTAGTCAGGGCACATGCGAGGAACAACCAATCGATGTTTCTCTCTCACAGCGATGTTTCTCTCCCTCCCTTCCCCTCTCTCTAAAATCAAGAAGCATGTTCTTGGGTGAGGATTAAATAAATAAACAAGCAAACAAATAAAATATGCTTTCTATTATCAAACATATAAATTAAGGGTTTCACAAGAAAAATAAAACAGAAGAATTAAATGATTTTAATATTTTTATAAAACTATACTTTGGTGAAGGGGCATGTCTAAGAGTTAAGAATATTATTTACTCAATAAAGCTAGTGGGAAAATATGGCAGAAGCTTTCTGTAACAGAATACATATAAAAGCTCACAATACCATCAGAAAGGTGATCAGTTGAAACCTTTTGCATGATGCTTCTTGTAATATTTGTCGCTGGAGTATATCCAAGAATTAGATTAGAGAGAACGGATTTGTCCATAGAGTTAAGTTCCATGTCAGGCACTTCTTCATATTTCTTATTTGGATGCATCATGCTAATCAATATTAACCAAAATAAAAAAAATAGTGGAAATAGAATTTCCTATAATAAAGAAAATAAAATGATTATGAAGTGTAACAATGGTAACAAAATTCATCAAGATTTCTATGGAAATAATATAACTAAGAAAAAAAACATGAGAAATTTGGCTCTTTTCCTAAGTACAAAAAGTAAAAGCAATTCTATCCTAAATGAAATATTGTGTTGACTATCTCACCTAACTCAACAGGCATATTAATTTTCCTTTATATTTAGTTTTACTGCAATATTGGGCTGCCCAAAAAGTTCATTTGGTTTTTTAGTAAAATGACTCTAGTAGCACTTAGTTGTCTTTAACTTCATTCGAAACAATTTTGTTAGATTGTCTTGTGACAGCTGTCAGATCAGTGTGCATTTAAAAAGAGGTATCAAAAATGGTAAATTTTTATGTAGCCATTTTAATATTGAATATGGAAGAAAATGCATTTTTCAACACATTATGCTTTCTTATTTCAAGAATGGTGAAAACACCAACTGAAACACACAAAAAAGACTTGTGCAGTATATGGAGAAGGACCTGTGACTGATCAAACATGTCAAAAGTAGCCTGCAAAGTTTCGTGCTGGAGATTTCTCAGTGGACCATGCTCTATAGTAAGGGAGACCCCTTGAAGTTGATAGTGATCAAATTAAAACATTAATTGAGAACATTCAACATTACACCACACAGGACATAGCTGACACACTCAAAATATTAAAATCAATAAAGCTATTGGTGAAAATGAAAAATGTATCTTTTATTTTATAGAGAAAAACCAAACAGACTCTTTGGCTAGCCCAATATTTTAAAATTGAAGTTACATAATAAAAAGATACACACTAAGATGTAAACATATAAATGTAAAATACAATAAAATATAAAATATAATAAATTCACTCATGTATAACTTTATTTAAAAGAACTTATCAAACATCCCTAATAAGGATCACCATGAAAATGTCTTTATTTAATTCTAAATTAAAACTCATGCTTTAATCATACCTAAATAAATTGAATTGTCCACTTTAATAGGGATGAACTATTATCATCTTACTATTTAATTGTTCTGCTGGGTTTCAGGAGAAGATAAACAATATATTTTCATCCTTTAAAATGATTAATAATGAGTTAGCCAGAGTTCTTACTTTCTTTTAACTTTTGAAGTCATGTATGCTTTAAAACATTACTTTAAACAAATATGACATTATTTTGGTATAATTAGGCAATTTAATCCAGAGGCCAAAAGATGGGAAACTATAGGGGAAAAACTGTGAAATAATGTTCCACAACATTGTCTGTGAAATTTATTTTTCATTTCATGCAACTTGGGAAATGGGTGCCTAAAAGTTCAAAATTAAGTACTAATATCAGAAATTAATTAAATTTAAGAATCATTAGAATTTTTAACATTTAGAAAATTGGTAATTTGGGTACCTTCCTGTGGCTAACCTTTTTACTTCACAAGCAAAGTAAAGGAAACTAAAAATATGAAATTAGGATAAAAATGTATCCAGCAAAATAAACATCTCTTAAAGATGAATGCACAATAAACTGCAATAAGGCATAAGAAAGAAAAACATTTAACTTACCTGAACACTACTTTTTTTAGTCCTGCATTTAATTAGGTAATTCTTCAGCAGGAGTGTTCTGGTCTGTCTCCAAACTCCCACCTCCCTGATTGCAGTAGCCATGTTTTCTGAATCAATCTATGAAAGGGGGGGGGAGATTCAAAGAAAAAAAAATGGAACCACATAGTTTAGAATGTGCCAATTTTAATACCAAAACAGAGAGATGGCTTAATCTCAAGTAAGGTGAACTTGAACACACAGCAAATTGTCTGTCCCTCCTGGACAGAATGCATGCAACGGCAATTTGAAGGCCCTGGAAAGTAAGCTGTAGCATGTGAAACAAGAGGGAAGCAGAGTTATAACTACTGCCCAACCAATAGTGGGCTTATACTTTTTCCCTGGAATGCGCTAGAAGCAAGCACCAGGGCACCAATCTTTTTTCTTTCTACTTTCTCTTATGACCCTGTCCCCAAGTAATCCCATGATAGTAGTGCCAGACTGCAGTAACAAAAGTTTAATGCAGGCAAAACTGTAAAGCAGGAGAGCCTTTCTCTCCATCAAGTGGAGCTACGGTTCCAAAAGGGTGGGGCCAAATCCTACGGTTTTCTCCTCTACCTCCCACCAGAGGCCCCTGGTGGGTGCAGTGGATGTGGTTGCAGATGTGTGTAGCCCAATGATGCAAATAAACCATAGCTTTCTGGATGGAGGATGGAAAAGAGGAAAGTAGCAGGGAAGGCAAATAAAAAGGAGCTCAGGAAAGAAACATTGTAGTTATGTATTACCACCTGGACTAACCCCCAAACTGGGCATAAATGGATCTAATCCTATTCTGTGTACCAAAGACTTGAAGAAATGAACAGATGTCAGACCACTGCCCAGATCCAGACCTGTCACTGGGTGTCACACATGGAGCAGATCCAAATTGTACTGCAAACCCTTTTGAGTGAAATCCTATACTAACAAAGCTGTAAGTCAAGGTCTTTAGGCTAATGTTCTTGCTACATGGTCTTAGTGTGTATTTCTTATGACTGGAATTCATTTACTCATGCATTCATTCATTCCATGAATGCCTACTGACTACTTCACATGCTTGTCTATTCTTTAGGGAGCTGAGAGGATAAAAGAAAAGGTTTCCAGACCTTATAGCATATAAAATCACCTAAGAAATTTGTAAAATCCACTTTATATGTGTTCCCCTCAATTAAGTCTGAGAACAGCCAACAAATTTGAATTTTTAGTAAACAACCAGATGACTTTGATGGTGGCACCTGGACCACATTTTGAGAAACAAAATGAGAGAGGCAGGATGTAAAGCAGGATACTTTCCACCCAAGTGACAGATGCCGTGAGAAGTGTTGGCCGATGGAGCTGTGGTGGGCGTGCAGGTGAGGTCCTTAGGTGATGGAAGCAAGGGATAGCTATTTAAAGGAAAGAATATTCAAACAAGCACTGAAAGATAAGTAGAATTCTACCAGCTCAAGACATGGATAAAAGGCATTTTGGACAGAAAATAGCTTAAGGCAAGAGGGGAGGTGGGAGGGAATAATGGGGAAGGGGGAAAGGGATTTCAGGAACAGCTATAAAGGACACATGGACAAAACCAAGAGGGGGGTGGAATCAGGGGAGGGAGGTGGGGATGGCTATGGCGGGGGGGAGTAGTGGGGGGATAATGCAGACAACTGTACTTGAACAACAGTAAAGTAAATTAAAAAAAAGAAAACCACTTAGGCAAACGTTGGGAGTCAAGTCTCCTTCCCGACCCTGAGAGAATTCCCCAAAAGCCTACATTGAACACTATTTCCCACTTCAAATTCCTCTTCAGAAGTATTTCTGACATTAATAAATGGGTAGATGAAGGGATAAATTAATTTATCAAGTGTTTAATAGCCTGTGGATGGTGGCATACTCGATCTTCGGTGACATGCCGATAGCAAGATACAAAACTTGCCAAGGAATGCCTGTATCTCCACAGAAAATAATTTTAGTACTTGATGCAGCAAGAGCTGATGACTAAGTGGCCCCTCTTACTTCCAGCACTTTCACATGTATCCTCTCATGCAAGAAATAAACAGCCAAATTATATTTGTTCATCCAAAAAAAGGGGAAAAAAACAAAACTGAAATTAGAGCCACAGCTCAGAGTGTGGGTGCAACCTGCAACCTGAACCTCACTGGGTTGACAGCAGGCTAAAAGAAAATATCAACACTCTCCACAGGAATAAAACAAAACTCAAAAGTTTCTTACAATCCAAAATTATTTGGCAAATGAATCATGTGGAACATATTGACTCTTTTAAGAAATGAAAATCAATAGACGCTAACACCAAGATTTTGCAATTATCTGACAAAAATTTTCAAGCAGCTATTAAAAAAGTGCTTCATCAAGTGCAGGTCTTCAAACAAGTCAAAGGAAAAGGTTGCAAAGAATGCCTGGACTGTCCCACGTGTTAACACTGGCTGGAACTAGCAGCAGAATCGAGCAGACAGTATCCAGGAGTTCGCTCTCTGGTGATACAGTTCGCACAGCACGTGTCAGAGGGGTCATGGTGGAGAGGACCACGGGACACTGAAGAGCAGCTCTCTGAGCAGACAGCATACGTAAGACCCTGTCTTTTGCAACATATATTAGAAGATGATCCTTGAAATACAAGTTCACAACTGAAATACAGTAAAACGTCTAATAGCTTTTTTAACATATAATTTTTAGAACTTATAATATTTGATGTAGTTCTAACTCAAACTCTTACCGATGCAGTATCTTTAAAACTCTTTAACAAACCCAGTGCTTAACTGGTAAGAACAATAACAAAGACAGAGATAAGGGAATAAAAATTTTAAAAATTTTTTCAAGTGACTTTTCACTGCTTCACAGCATACCTGGGGAATGTGTTAAGTTTGCTCTACAGCTTTAAATAATAATTACATAAGTTTTAAACACTGAATATCATTAAAGAATTCATCAAATATGTAACTTTTCTAGGTGAATGCTTTCCTAGAAAAAATAATTCACACTAAATCTAATAAATTGCAAGAAAATTGAAAGCCTACTAAAGCCCATCCTCCTTTTGTAATATATTAATCATTGGCTTAAAGACTACAAGTTACATAATCCAAAATTCAGTATCAAAAATTCATTATTAATTTATTAATGAAGTATTGATTACTACACTGACATGCTATGAAACATATTTCACCTTTCTCAAAGCAATACAAAATATACATGATCTTTAGAAATAACTGTTAGGAAAAAATAATTTGGAATGCATTAGTTTTATTTCTGAGAAATAAATTCAGATTACAGCATATAAAGAAACTGAATCATCATGATGTTCATAGCCTCCTGGTAACAGGTATGGTCAATCACGTTAGCAAGCTTGAAAGAGCCTCAGAAAGGCTGAAACTGTTCCCTGTCTCCAACAGATGACTGTTAGAGGTTACTTCCAGGCCACACAAACAAAGCTGATTATATCACTCTTTTGTTCCGTATCTATATCCAATAAACCATAATTGCAATTACCAAATTGTGTCAGCACTGTTTATTTGTTTACATGTCTTAATCTTGAACTTGATCATGAGATCCTTGACAAAAAAGAAACAAACCTGCCTTATTTATCTTTGCTTCTCTAACACCGAGGATAATATTATAACCAATATTGCCTTCCTGCAAATTACTTTATCAGTGCTTGCTGAGTGTCCTTGTATACAGATCAAAGGTCTGCAAATTACAGTGGAGGAGATGGTGGCTAAATCCAGCCTGTTTTGCAGAGCCTGAGCTAAGAGGGTTGCTTCACATTTTTTAATGGTTATGTGTGTGTGGGGGGGAATCAAAGAATAATAATTTGTGACATGTAAAAATTATATGAAATTCAAATTTCATGTCTATAAATAAAGTGTTATTGGAACACAGACATGCTCATTCATTTCTTCATTGTCTATGACCGCTTTGGTGCTAAACAGCACAGTTAAGTAACTGAAACAGAGACCAGATGGTCTGCAAAACCTAAAATATTTACTATCTGGCTCTTTACAGAAAGTCTACTGACCCCTGTTATGGATTAAAGGACTAAGAAAGAAGAAACGTAGCAAATTCATTTAACATTTACTGAGAAATTTATGCACTAAACATAATGGCAAAAAATAAGTTAGACTCTGTCATTGATTTTACAGACAGATAAAATTTAATATAACATGATCAGTGTAAGGTGGGGAGAAGAGCTTGAAAAAGACTGGAATGGAAATTCCGTGCAGAGAAAAAAGAATGGAAAAGCCTGACTCCTAGAAGGCCTTAACTTGCATGAAGAACAAGGATACCTGCACTATGGTGGAGGCACAGGCAAAGCAAATTTGCAAGGTCCAGACAACTGTAAAAACAGGTCATGGAAATGGGTTGTGAAATACCTACCTTGCCAAACCAAATTACACACAATTTTGTGTACCCGTATACAGTACCCCATTATCGGGCTTTTCATACCTCAGTGTGATTGTTTCATTGCTTGGCAATCACACATTTCAGTGATCCATTCACTTGCCCAAACCCCCAAACCTCCAAGCATCCACCTGCAGAATCACTCTCAGATTATGATCCGATTCCTACTTCACTGAGAAAAGTGAAGCTATCAGAAATTTCAAAAATACCCCACTAATCCTTCTACCCATTTACCTATAGCTATGCCTAATGTAATGTTATTAAACTGAAAACTCTGTTCATTCGAACTTTGAGCCATAAATGCTTAAATGAAATCTGTTATTATCTATACAGGGCAGGGCCAAAGTAGATGTACAGTTGTGTGTCCACAAAACTCAGTTTATTCTTATATTTTTATTTATTATTGTATTATTTTCTATAGAACAACTGTAAACCTACTTTTGCCCCATCCTGTACTTTTAACTTAACCTTTATTTTTTGGAGGAAGAGGTTACAAACATACTTGGCAGGTGACTTGAAAGAAATCCTGGCCATACTGGCTTCTCAACTAATGAAATAAAAGCAACATAAAATCAAGCCTTTCAATTAATAGGGAATAAATTATAAATGTTCTCTACTATTTTAAAATTCACTGAAGGTAGTGTAAATAATATAACGAAACACTAATTGTCAATATGATTTAAACTAAATTTTATGACAGTATGTCTTGCTAAATGGTAAAATAATAATGCAATGGTACATGATAAGCTATCCAATACCTTTCTTAATGGATCCTAAAAGCTTGTGCTTACAACTATTTAAATCCAATTAATCCACACACTAGTGAAGAATACTACTTAAATATTACGAAATTATTTTATAAGATCATCTGAATTAAATTCAAGGACAGAGATTATAAATTGTATTAATTTTGGTACTCTTGGCACATAGTTTAGTATCTGGAAAATAAGACATTCAAATGAACATGGAATATACTAATAAGTTTGTTTTTACCCTGAATGCAAGATTTTCCTATACTACAAACCCTTTTGAAGACAAATACACTTAAACAGCACATATTAAAAAATTAATATGTTCTTAGTTTGATTTTAACCCAAATACCCCAAGGACCCTAATTGCCCTAATTAATGCTCTCTTGTCTGGAGTTTTCCCTGAAAACATGTAATATCTCTCTTTGGGCAGACACAAAATATAAAGCATCAGAATTTAGAGTCTGGCATCCCTGGATTGAGACTTCAACAAGAGACTTAACCTCTTGGCGGTTCATTTTTTACATTTGCACAACTAGAATAACCCCTCCACCCTCCCAGGGCTGCTGTCACGGTTAAAGGAGTGAATACCGAGTGTGGTTCATACTCGGGAGTCCAGTGTATACTCGTGTCCCCTTCTGTTCCTTCAGAATGCCCTTGATGAAAAGTAGACGTGAATGTCTTCCTTCTTTAAGACTTGTTTATTTTAAAATGTACATCTTAGCCTCTGGAGCCCAAGACAAACCCTCCTCGGGCTACTGTCGCCTCAAACCGAGCTCAGTGCCTCCAGCCTCCCTAACTTTCATATATACTGAAACATCTGCACGCGTGGGACATTTCTTTGGGGTTTCGGAATCAGGGTATCTCCCCCCCAAACCGTGTCACAAGATGTGCGCATTTTCACCTCACCCAATTCCCTTCTGTATGCACGCTGGTGATGAGCACGAACCCTCAGGAATAACAAATACGCTAATTAATGATCCTGCTGCTCGGAGGGGACCTAACTGCACAACATCTCCCATATGTCATCACACCCTGAGGATGGACACCACCACGTCCAACCAGACGCAGCCTCGTGGTCGCCCCACGGCCGGTCCCGAGTCCTGGGTCCTGGACGGACCCCCTCAGCATCCTCGGCATCCGCCACACCATCTCCCTAGGAAGAGCAAACCGCATCCAACCGTGTCTCCTGCCCACTGGGATTGCTCCCCGGAGACTGAGCTCGCGGGCTAGGCCTCCGCCCGCTGCCTCCACACCTCAGACCCGCGACCCTTGCCCCTCCCGCCGCCACTCTCACGCCAGCCCTTCAACGGCCGCCTCCGGCTGCCAGGCTCAACCCCTCTGGCCCCCCAGGGGCGGTTTTCCCCGCTGAGGCACCAACATCTCTGCCCTCCGCTCCACCCTCACCTTAGGGTTCAGCCCGATCAGCAGAGGTGACAGGCCTGGACGCGCTCAGTCTGCGAGAAAAGTAAGTGAGGGTGAGACCCCGTGCACGAGCACGCGCGCGCTCCCGCTGCTGCACCCCGTGCACCCCCAGAGCTGCAGGGCTGGCTACGCTCCGAGAAAGAGGTGCTTTGTGCCGGAAGTCGGGCTCCGCCTCCAGCTGAACTCACCTGGGGGCGGGACTCCTAGAGGACGCGCGCTTCCGCTGCTCCGCCCTGCGGGACCAGGCACTGGCTGGGAAGGCCGAGTGTCCCGGGAGGGGCGTGCTCCTGGGGGCGGGGCTCCAAGTGGCGGACCGGCGGGGCTGGCTGAGACGCAGATCCCTCGCGCCCGGGAGCCGCAGAGCCTCGGAGCCTTGGGAACCCGGAGTCGTGTGACTGCCCTGTGGGGACCTCGCCGCGCTCCCCGGTGAGGCACAGGCCGAAGCAACCGGCTTGTAGTCGGGAGCTAGTGTGTGAGTCCGAATCCCTGTGACCTTGGCCTGCAGCCCTCGCCGCAGCTGCTTCCCCGTGACATCTAGTTTTAGGAATATGTTCGTATATGTTTTCCGGGCGTTTAAACGGTCCTCTCCTAGGACTGCATTTTGACCCCTCGGCAGCCCCTTCTTTCCGCAGCGTCTGGGGTGCAGTGACCTCCTTGTCATAACCGCTGCTTCGGCCTCGCATCAGACACCGACCTGAACATCTGGACGTTCAGGATGCTTTTCGTTTCTGAAGTGTTCTCTTGCGAGTCTGGGGAAGTGGCAGTTCCTGACTTTCAAAAACGGCCTGAGGCACATGGTATCCTTCAGAGGGTCTCTATCACCATGTTTTCACCAAGAATATAAACTGATGTTTTGAGATTTATTTCCCAAAGTGACCTAAATGGTAGTCAAACGTTTTCGTGAAAAAAAGGCTCACAACGCTTAGCATCACTGATTTTCCTCTTCTGATTTCTGTATGGCCACATTTCTTTGCTCAGTTTTTTACTTTGGATAATTTAAATGTTTTTTTTTTAATTTCTGTCAATTCTATGGACATTGTGTGTTCTTTAAACTTATCTTTGTCTTTCTCAAATTTAAGCCAAATCTCCCCACCAGTCGCAATGCTAAGTTCTACCAAAAAAAAAAAAAAGAAAGAAATCAAGTTTTGTTTATTCTATCAAATATGTATTGAGTAGGAAATTCAAAGAGCTTTAGCAAGAATCCATGATGATTAAAAATATGGCAGTGGAAGTTGGGGGAAAGGAAATAGACTGTCCTAGAAACTACACCAGAATACTGAAGAAGGCAGGTAATGAAAAGTATTCATGATCTATTTTTTTCTTTTGAAATATCTAGAATGGCCCTGGCTGGTGTGGCTCAGTGGATTTAGTGCTGGCCTGTGAACCAAAGGGTCACCAGTTGGATTCCCAGTCAGGCTGCATGCCTAGATTGCCAGCTGGGCCCCCAGTGGGGGGAATGTGAGAGGCAACCACACATGGATGCTTCTCTCCCTCCCTTAAAAAAAAAGAAAAGAAAAATATCTAGAATGTTTTTGTTACAAATTCAGAAATTTTTTTGCATTTTATTTAGATTTTTCAACCACAGTTTGCATTCACTACCATTCTGCACCAGTTTCAGTTGTACAGCAAAGTGGAGGAAAACCATGCACTCTACAGAGTGGTCCTCTCCCTGCCCCAACCACCTACCTGGCCCCACACTCCATTATATCAATAGTATTGACTATGAGAAGAATGCATTCTTAATGGCCTTAAATCTGTGGGCAAATAAATGTAGATCAAAGATAAACTTGGTAAAAAAATGTGTTACTGAATTATTAATTCACCCCCAACCCTCCAATTATACTTCCAACTTGTAGCCTTAACCTGCTTTAACATCAGTAGTTTACTCATCTTTCTACCACTATTCAAGGCATTTGTTTCCTGAGTTTCTTATTATTGTGCTGTTCTTCTTTATTCGTTCTGTCTGCTTATTCCTCTACTCTTGCTTCAAGATAACAGGACCAAAAACCAATGATTTTGTAAAAATCTCACCCCCCCAGACAAAATTATTTCAGTTTCCCCTCAACAGCACAACACCTTGTCCATATGATTTTATTGATGTACTGTTTCTTCAATTAAATTGTAACTAGTATGGGATTAAGAGCTTTTTCTTATACCATTATACATTTCCAGATTTTATGTATCACAGTGTGCAGTGAATGTTGTTGATCCTACTACTGATGAGAAAACACATGTACAAGAGTATGCAAATACTGTTGTCATTATTATCCCTACAAGATGTCCACAAACTCAACAAAATAGACCTGTAAAAAAAGGAAGGGAAATTCTTCTTATGGAATGAGTGGCAAAATTGTAATGATCATGTGGCTGTGGGAATAACATAACAGAATACTAAAAAAGAGTGCCCTGAGTATTGTATTGGCCATGACATATTTTCTATTGCATGGCCCTTGTAAACAATGTAGCCACATAATTTCAACCTACATTTCCATAGTTACCAGGTCCAACTATTCAATAAGCATCTGCAGGGAAGATGTTACTCTCTGAGTTTCTGTATCTAGGAAAGAACAAACAAGCCACAATGCCTGGTTGTCATGGTGGCCACCTAAATCCCCACGCCTCATTAATAGATTCTTAGACAGATCACATGGGAATACATAGATCATAGAAGTCATAGATTGAGATTTAACAACTTGCCTCGCTGAACAAAATGAATAGGGAACCAAAATTTTGACAGTATTTAATGCAGGGAAAGAGAATCAGATCTGCTACCCAAAATACCAAACTACAGTATAACCTGATGGTGAACAATGGATTCTTTTTTTTTTAATTTTGTTCTTGCCTTATTTAATGGTTTTCTGACGGTTTTTTTAGCCAAAATTAAGAGCAAAATTTCTAAATTTTAAGGACAATGCATTCCTGATATCTTATCAGTACATTATTTTGCATGATTATCAATACATTGAAGATCCCATTACCATTTTTAAAATTTATTACCGTTAAACACCGTTATTAATTATTTTTAAACATTTGCCATTTCTGCAAGCTAAAAATAAAGTGCTAAGAGAATGATGTGGTTTCTAAAATCAGGGTTTAAGTTAGGTGTAATTTCAAATCGGTACTTTTTTCCAGAACAGGGCAAAACATATAAAGAAACACAGCCTTGACTGAGAAAGTAGAAAAAGAATCCCACAATGTTAACAATAGAATCCCAAACTACCATCTCAAATATGGCTGAGATTGTTATTTAATTGCCTAAGGAAATGATTAATTAATAATGGGTAGAGGGGTGAAGAAGAGAATGACTTCTGAAAGTAGTTTTAGTTTGGCTTTTATTACTACTACTAATGTTGTTGTTGTTTTATTACATTTAAAAGAATTCAAAGTATTATTCTTTGTATTTCCCAAACAGAAAAATTATTTTAAAAAATTAATCTCAAGGAGATTAATAATTGAAGACTACCCTGCCAAATTTGATGTCTAAAAAGTCAACCAACCAAAGTGCCTGTATAGGTACTCGAAGGTATATGAAGTGCCTAGCCTTCTTGCTTAGCACGAACCCCAAATTTGCAGCTGAACAAAAAAAGGTAAAGAAATCAACATTTATTTTGAGAGACCAAAAAAAAGTATCAAATAGGAGATAATATTTGTTTCATTTTTAAACTATGTGGTGCAAACTATGGAGTAATATAGATGAATTATTGAGGGCTGGAATTACCTGGTATCTTCAAGAGGAAAAGATGGGGAGATTTGTTTAACTGTAGTGGGCAGAGGGAAATAAGCCTGAATAGGTTTTAATAAATACAAAATTATTAGCTTGCCTAAGATATAATGCAAAGGCTCAAAAAGAGACTTGACACTATCTGTGTGTTCTTTCTCTACTCAGTAAGGAAAAGACTTTAAAGTAGTAAAGGTGAAACAATGTAGAAAGAGAACCGAAACTTGAGATAGGTGAGGAGATAGTAAGCAAACACCTATCTGTTTCCAATAAGTTCATGTGTTCCAGGCACAAATTACATCCCACAGCTGTTTATAGGTAACCTAAGACCCATTGCTATTAAGTTCAAAGAAACTATAAAAAATGAAAAAGATGATAGATCACCTGCTTTAAAAAATTGTTTAAAAGGTAGACACTAAAAACTTTCAAACAGAAAAGTAAAATTCCAGAGCACATAATTAAATATATTTTATGAACATTTATAAGAGTTTGATTTTATTTTTCAATGAAAATGAAAATTGCACAGTCTTGATATAAATTAATTTCAGCAAAGCATTCTTTCATGATATTTGTGGGTAGAACTCTAAAATAAGGGCTTGATATAATTATAACTAGGTAAAGTCAAAGTTAGTTGCATAATTGTAGCCAAACTTTTGTTTATAATTTTTCATCAATTATACAGGTGAGGCCATAATGATCATTTTGGTCAAATCAGAGGATGAATAAAGCCTATATAGCATAGAAAATATGACTGAAGTCAGAATCAAGAAACAAAATCATATTAACAATTTAAACTCTGAGCTAAAATCTAAAGATAAAATTTAATAGAAACATCTGAAAATCCCTACATTTATTCAAATTGAAAAATAAACCTGCAGAACTACAAAATTGGATAGATTCTGGTTTAGCCATGTAAAAACCAAAGGTTTTAGTGTCTGCCAAGATCAATGTGAGTTAATAATATAGTAGGTAGCTTGTAGTGATGCCTATAACACTTTTGGTTGAAAAACCGTGCCTTTCACTTGGGGGATCCCCTGGTCAGTATTTCCCATAGACTTCACTAGTCCTCTAGAATAGGAATAGGCAGAATAATGACCCTGGTCCACTCAAAGATGTCCACATCCTGATCCCTGGAACCTGTGAGTATGTTACCTTACATGGAAAAAGAGGATGAAGTTTGCTAATCAGCTGACTTTTAAATAGGGAGATTATCCTGGATTATCTAGGTGGGCCCAATGTAATCCCAAGGGTCCTTAAAAGCAGAAGAGGGAGGCAGAAGAGAAAGTCAGAGTGATAATGCCATAAGAGAAGAACTCAACCCTTCCTTGCTGGCGATGAAGGTGGAGGAAGGAACACAGGTGGCCTCCAGACTGGAAAAAAACAAGGAAACATCTCCCAGAGCCTCGAGAAACAAATGCAGCCCT